CCAGGTTCACTGACACCTGTTTTGCCTGTGTGCCCATGCTGAACTTTGTTTCTCTCCCAGCCTGGTGAGATAGACCTTTCTAATCAACCATCTACCTGTCTTAGGCTGGAAATTTGTTTCACTTTGTCTTTTTGTGGGTTCTGCTGCTCTAGAACTTGTTTAGAGCCATTTTTTTACACGTAATTGGAAGGGTTTGGGGAAGAGCTCAAGCAAATCACTCCTTTTACTCTGTCATCTTGGCTATGGGCTCCCCCCCAAAGAGATCTTAATCCAGTCTCAGTAAAGGACCAGACGTAGTTATAAAGGAATTACCACAGGAAAAAATTGGTCCTGATGAATTTCTGATGAGAATTTGAGCAAACTTTTAAATAACAATACCCATACTTCACAAATATTTTCAAAAATTGAGAAAGGAAATACCCTATCAGAGTCCTTTTTTAAGTCAAATACAGTTTTGATACCTAAAGCAGGGAAAGCTAATATAGAAAAAGAAAACTGTAGGCTAATATCATTAATGAACATTGACTCAAAAATTTTAAAGAAAACCTGTCAGATAACAGAGAATTATCTAAGAAATTACTCATTATGACCAAGTGGGATTTATACCAGACATGTAAGGATGGTTCAACATTAGGAAAGCAATCAACATAATGATATTAGAAACCAAAATATCCAAAACCACAGGATTATCTCAAAAGATGCAGAAAAAGCCTTTTACTAAGTAAAATATTCTTTTATGCTACACACCCTACAACGTATGAGATTCAAATAGACAGGTCATAGAGTAGCCTATTATTACCATTTAAAGTCCACTTTAGGAGATAACAAGATTCAAGTAGGCTGGTCAATGAAATACTGAAACTAACAGGGGCCCCTGGGCCCCTCTGTCCTGGGCTGAATGATGGAATAATGAAGCTCCAAGATAAGCTCAAAACTCTGAACTACCCTGCCCCCTTGCCTACTTGACCCTGGTTACATCTCCCTGCACACTGCAGGTTTTCCTCTATAAGAAATCCTAACTTCTCCTGGCTTTGGCTCGCCTCCCTTAAGCTGTGTCTCCCTTGGGGGGGCCCCTTCTCCCTTGGGGGGCTGCCTCCCAAAGGGCTGCCAATCCCCCCCATAAGCTAGGGTCTCCCTTCAGCTTCATCTCCTTTAAGGGGTAGAGGAGCCTGCCTGGTGCATTCTGTTACCCAGAATAAATGCCTTTACTTGATTCGGAGATGGCCTGAGAGACTTCTTTCAAGATGGACCCAGACACACATACACCATGCACCTCAACATTTTGGGATGCCCTTGAACCTCAATAGTATAGGCATAAAGAGACTTTTTTTCAGTATCAAAAAACACTCATCTGAAACCAAAAGCAAGCATCACATGCAATGATGATACATTAGAATCTTTTTTTATGAAAACAGTGATAAAATAAGGATGTCCCCCTTCCCCACTATTTTTTGATATACTTTTGAAAATGCTAACAATAGCAATAACACAAGAAAAAGAAATAAGACAAAGATAGTTAAAGAGATAAAATGATTCCCATTTACTTATGTTATGGCAATTTATTTGGAAAATCCTAGGGAATCAGCAAAGGTACTAATTGGGACAATAAGTTTAAGCAAAGGTGAAGGCTACATTAAGATTATATCAATAAGATACTTTTGAAAAAATTCAACCCTGTAGAAATAAATAGACCTTTCCTAAATATGGTGAATGACTTGGTTTGGGATTGCTGAGAATCCTGAAATGTCAGGGTACAAGATGGAGTCTGCCTGGAATGAATTCAGGCACTCAAATGATTTTCTAGTCAAGGGAAAAGGCTTATTATAATTCGAATAGAAGTGGGCAGGGTTCCTGGGGAACCTGAAACTTCATGGGGATGAGACCGACACTTATACACAAAAGTGACAGTGAAAGGATCTGGATGGGATTAGGGAGTGATGAAAGGAATGTCAAGTAAGCTAATTAGATGATCTAGGTGGGCTGGGGTAGGCCAGGTGCCTTGGGCAGAGGTGCCAGTGATCTGGGCTGCTGTCAAAGACATGGTCTTTTCCTTTTAGGGTCCAGGTCCCATCACCCCATCAGTAAGAATCTGTCTAAAACCAAGAGTCTACATTAAATGTAATAGAGAAATGCTAAAAGCCTTTTTTCCCCCCAGTCGAAGACAAGGTTTATTAAAAATTCGCCATATTGGCCGGACTCTTAAGAAATCTGAACATTTATGATCTATTGGCTAGACTGTAAAAATCTGAGCCCTTGGCTAGGTTTGTAAGGAATCTGAGCACCTTAATGGAGACAAGATGAATGCTAAAAGCCTTTCAAATAAGATCAGGGGTAAAGAAGACTATTATTGCCAGTATTATTTGATTACATAGTTCTAGAAATACTAGCTATAGTGATACAACAAAAATAAAGGAAAAAAGGTGTTGATGGAACAGGCATAGCCAAAGAAGAAAAAAACTACTGATGGTAAAATGTTCTATCTAGAGAAACATAAAGAGTTAAATGAAATTAATTGAAATAATAACTTCAGCATTTCTGAATATTGCCAATAAAACCCAGTAGAAAGAGAAATTTCATTAAAAATAATTACAGAATGTATAAAATATCTGGGAGTTGACCTACCAAGAAATACAGGAACTATAAGAATACAACTGCAAAACAGTTTTTACAGAAATAAAGACCTAAATAATCAGAGAAAAATTAATTGCTTAGGGGTAGACCAGCTAGGTGGCACAGTGAATAGAGTGTCAGGCCTGGAATTAGGAAGACTCATCTTCCTCAGTTCCAATCTGCCCTCAGACATTAGCTGTGCGAGCCTGGGCAAATCACTTAACCCTGTCTGCCTTCATTTCCTCATCTGTAAAATGAGCTGCAGAAGGAAATGGCAAACTACTCCAGTATCTTTGTCAAGAAAACCCCAAATGGCATCACAAAGTCAGACAGGACTGAGCAACAACAAGGTCTATGTCAATGTAATACAAAAGAGAAACTACCTAAAGGATTATCTTATAGAGCTAGGAAAAAAAATCACAACAATGAAATCCACCTGGAGGAACAGAAGGTCTAGAATCTTAAGGGAAATAATGAAAAAAAAAATGAGAAGAAAGGAGGCCTAGAAGTACCAGATCTCAAACTATACTACAAAGCAATATTACTACAATATACTACAAAGCAAATATTATCAATATTTGATACTGGCTAAAAAATATTGAAGTCAAGCAGTGGAACAAATTAGGTATACAATATACAAATGCAAAAAAATCCCACAAGTAACAGTGTTTGATAAACCAAAAGACCCCAGCTACTGGAGTAAGTACTCACTATTCAACCAAAACTGCTGGAAAAATTGGAAAGTAGTGTGTCCTTATATACACCAAAGAGATCAAAGAAGTAAAACAACCCGTGTGTGTGTATGTGTGTGTGTGTGTACACGCCCGCGTGTGTGTATACATATATAGATACAGATATATATTTATAGCAGGTCTCCTTATATGAACAAACTGGAAAGTGAGTGTGATCATCAATTAGAGAATGATAAAGCAAATTAACACACATGAATGTAATGAAATATTTTTGTGCTATAAGAAATGATGAAAGAGAGATTCAGAGAAACCTGGGAAGACTTGTATGAAGTGATGTAGAGTGAAGTGAGCAGAACAAGGAGAACAATTTATACAATAGTAATGATGTTGTAAAGAAAAACACTAATTAATGCAGTGAGTGACCACCGTTCCAGGAAGCATGCCATCCACCTCATTAAAGAAAGGTGATGTAAAGGCTATGCATATATTAAAAGGATTTTGTATTTCTTTCCTCCCTTCCCCAATTTTGGAAAGAGAAGTGAGAGGAAGAAAAGGCTATCCATAGGGTTATCAGATGAGAAAGTTAAAAAAAAAAATCACTGAAGCTTTTTTTTTTAAATGCACAGAAAACGACAGAAGATCAGAAGAAACAGAAACAACACAACTTTTAAAGTTACATTTTAAACTTACTATGTAATTAAATGGGAAAGTAAGCTATATAGTAATAAGATGCAGTTTCATATTTAATCCTCTTTCTATTCTGCTTTGTATATGGAAGAGTGAATTTTATTTGGTATTTAAGAATAAATAAAATACTTAGCTCATGCACCACTTTCCATAAGAATCCTTTCTTAATTTTCCCCAACTGCTAGTGAGGACCCCCCAAACTACGTTTTAATTTTGTATTTATTCTGTATAGACTTTTATATACGTACTAGTCTCTCACGTTAAAATATACTTGACTGGGTTTGGTGGTGGGAAGCCTGAAATCCCCGATACTCAGGAGGCTGAGGCTGGTGCATAACTTGAACTCGGGAGTTCTGGGTTGGGTGTCGGTACTAAATCTGCCAATCAGGAATAGAATAGCAACTGCGGCATCCACCCCCGGTCCCAGAGGTGTACTTTCAGAAGGAAGCTGATAGGCGCCTTGAGAGAGGGAAAAGGGAGAGAGGATGGAAAGGAGGATGGAGGGACAGGGGCAGTGAGGAGAAGAAGAGGAAGAGTAGGATGAAGGGAAGTCAGTAGGAGGGAAAGCAGAGTAAAGGGGAAGGGGGAATTTGAGGAAGAGGTGGGAAAAGGGGGAGAGGAGGGACAAGAGCGAGGAAGACGAAGGGAGGGAGGTGGACGGAGAAGGAGGGGAAGGAAGGAGGAGGGAAGAGAGAAGGGAAAGGAGAAAGTGGAGAGAGGAAGGAGAAAAGGGGGGAGTAAAGAAAGAGGAGGGAGGAGAGGGGGAGAGAGAAAGGGAAGGAAGAAGGAGGAAGGGGAGAGAGGAGCAGAGGAAGAGAAAGAGAAGGGGGAGTGTAAGGAGGAGGGAAAAGACGAAGGAGGGACAGACGTAAAGAGAAGAGGGAAGGGATGGAGGGGAAGAGGAGGGAGAGAGGTGAAGGACGGCTACCAAAAAGAAGAGAAGGTAGAAGAATACCAGGGAGGAAGAAAGAGGGAGGAGCGAGCATCATCCCACTTCCTCTCGATCGCCACCATCCCCTCTTCCCCTCCCCCGCGCCTTCTTGCCCTTAACCTCCTACGGTGGCCGAGAACAGTCATTTCCCAGGGATGAATGAAGGTGCTGGGGGACGCGCGCTGCCTAGGTCGCTTCCACATTCCCCTCCCTCTTTTCCTCCCCCCTCCCTGGGTCTCCTCCCCACTTCTCCCTACCCTTTCCCCACCTAGGCCCGGTCTCCTTCTGGCGCCTGCGCCCCTGGGAGCGTGGGAGCGGCTGCGCGCGGCTCGGGCTCGAGGCTCGGGGATTCCGGACGCTGCTTAGGCTGGGCCCCGGCCCCGGGCCGCGCTCCTGATTGCGGCCGCGCTCTGCCTTAGGTAGCAGGGGTTCGGCGCGGGAGGCCGGTGGGGAGCACAGGGCCTCGGGCGCTTCTTGTCTTTAGATGGGGCGCCTCTGCAGGGCTCGGGCGAGGTCCTGGCCCGGGCCCACGGGAGCCCGGGGCGAGGATAGGAGAGGGGGAGGAGGAGGACGGTGGAGAGGGCGCGGGCCCAGCTCAGCGGCCCGGGCGGGGAGGGGGCGGGGCGGGCCAAGGGGAGGGCGAGTGCAGCAGCGCGGCGGCCTCGGGCCGGCCCCGAGCCTTCCCTTCCCTGCCTCGAGCTGGAGTCCCGGGAGGCTCCGGGAGGAGGGCGCCTGGAGCCTGGAGCCTCGCTCCCACAGCCTCCTGGAGGAGCCCAACCCCCTTCTTTACAGATGAGGAAAGTGAGGCCCAGGGTCGCTTCAAGCAGCAAAATACATGAGCTGCAATTCCAGTCCGGGGCTTCTGGCTCCAAATCCAATGTTCTTTCCATTTCCCCCGTGGAAATGAGGCGAAATGTAGAACATTAATGTATCGGCATTTATTTTTTATTTAGATGCCTTTTCTGAAAGGAGTGAACATTTGACTAGGATTAGAGCCCACTGCACTGTGGCAGTAATGTAAGGGGTGCGATAGAGTCCAGAAATTCTGAGTTCTGTTGCTGGGTTTTGATACTTAACTGCACTCAGGTGCCACTCAGCTTGAGGTCGTTGTTTGTGGATAGAATGCTGGACTGGGAATCTGAATTCTGCACCAGGCACTTAATTGCTCTGAGACGGTAGGCTGGTCGCATAACCCAACTAAGCCTTCTCTGTAAGGTGTTGGACCTGATGGCCTCCTAGGTTCCTTCAAATTCTATATTTAAGATCCTATGAGTTCTTCAAGCAGAACTTGGGTGTAGTGAAAAGAATTGGGTTCAAGTTCTACTTCTGAGGTTTATTCCTTCTGTGATCTTGGCCAAGTCACTTAACTTCTCTGATCCTCAGTTTCCTCAACTGTTAAATGAGGGGGTTGAACTGGATGGCCTCTGAGGGCCCTTCCAGCTCAAGACCTGCGACACTGTGACAAGGTGACACCTGTAGGTATAGAAAATGCAAGGCATTGTTCCTGTCTTAAAGCTTATATGGTATTCATTTTAATGATTTGGTACATTTACTTGACATATGTCGTATGTACTACGATTTCTTAACAGTTTTTTAGGTAGATAAATTGTTGTACCCAGTTACCCAGTGAAGCTCATGTCCCCTGTTCCCTTAGATTGTAGGTTACATTATCTCAGGCCTTTATGGAATTGCAGAATTATTTGGAACCATATAAATGGAGGTATCCACCAACTTATACTTCTTTTTCTTTATTAGGGTTAAGAGTGACGATGGCAGAGTGTACAAATCTTCAGTTTGTCAGCCCGTTTGCCTTTGAGGCAATGCAGAAGGTTGATGTTGTTCGTTTGGCCTCCCTCGGTGATCCAGAATTAAGACTTCTCCTGCCTTGTTTGGTGCGGATGGCACTATGTGCTCCAGCTGACCAGAGCCAAAGCTGGGCTCAGGATAAAAAACTTATTCTACGCCTTCTTTCAGGGGTGGAAGCTGTCAATTCCATTGTTGCATTGCTCTCTGTGGACTTCCATGCTTTGAAAGAAGATGCCAGTAAAGAGCAGCAGCTTAGGTAATGAATCCTTTGTCATGACTTGGGCTGTAGAACTTAGCTTGAAAAGGCCAAGGTCCTCCACTGTATCCTGGGCCATCTCCAGTTGTCCTGATCCATATCTGTCCACTGGACCCAGATGGCTCCAGAGGACAAAATGAGGCTTGTGACTTTGCACAGTGTTCCCTCACTTAAATCCAATTCACTTGCACGTCATGGCATCACCTCCCTGATGTCATGGTTCTCTTAGAGAAGGAAGGACAAAATAGCAAGTACCTTAGAGCTTTTTAAGATTTTAACAGGATGTAATTTTCAGAAAAGAGGAATACAGGGATTGAAACTATGCTGCTCTAATCCTGGGGTTTATGAAATAAATATATGGGTGATAATATGCAGTTTTTACCATAGATTTGTATTTGTTTTGAATTAGTGAAATGAGATTGGAGCTCAGAATTACTAGTAAAATTTAGATTTTCTTACTTTCTCTAGTTGCTTTTTAAAAACAAAATCTTTTCTTTGTTCTAATTTCCACAACATTGTTTGCTTAAAATTTTTTTTTGTATTCTTTACTAGGCATAAGTTTGGTGGAGGCAGTGGAGAGAGCATCTTGGTATCGCAGCTTCAACATGGACTGACATTGGAATTTGAACATAGTGATTCACCTCGTCGCTTGCGTCTTGTGCTTAGTGAACTTTTAGCAATAATGAACAAGGTGAATTTCTTCTGCTGGCAGCTAGAGACCCACTTGACATGATATTTCATTGATTTAGAGCTGAAAGGGAACACAGAGACCATTCAGTCCAATCCCCTCATTTTACAGATAAGGATACTGGGGCCCAGGGAGTTCAAATGACTTGCCCAAGGTCAGTTATTGATTTGAATGCAGATTCTCTGACTATGAAGACTGTGCTTTTTCCACTGTACCACACTGATGTGTAAGGTCAGTGATAACAGTGCTAGGCAGACTACCATTCTTTACTGTGTATTGTTCTGTTTTAAATCCACCAGGGCTTTTATCTCAGAGGCTAACAGTACTTCAAAATATTGTCTTACAACTTGTTCTTTCTTGCCTACTATCTTGCCTCATTTGTATCTATCTTTCTTCCTCCAATGCAGAGGATTATCAGACAATATTATTACTTTTCTGAAAAATCAACTGCTGTTTAGTGAGTGTGATGCTAATGTAAAATGTATGGGAAAGTCCATTATTTTAGGAACTGGCTACTTTGTTAAATTGTTACTTCATAATCACTTACATCAGTTTTGGTCCTGATTGCCAGAGGTAAAAATTGGTGAAGGCTGTTTTGTTAATCTGGGACCAAAATGACCAAATTCTACTAATTTCTTATTTTTCCCAAAGAAAATATTTTTAATTGTTGTATGTAGTCCGATTTAAGTGGTAGTTTTGTGTCATGATTTAAAACACGTTAATCTTTATAACACTTCTCAGTAGGAGCAGGTTGGTTTTCTGTTTTACTTAATTTTTAGTACTGCAGCAATATAAAGCTTTTTCTCCTTACATATTTTTCTTTTTGAATTCAGTTTATGATGCTGATCAAATAAAGTAATCTATCCTCCATTAATTGTAGTATTTAGATGGAAGGTTTGTTTTCTCACTTCTCTTTACGTGAAATATGATAACAAAACTGAATCGGAAGAATATTGAATTCATTTTAAAATAATCATTTGTTATTGTTAAGTTCTAGTTCTTAAGTAAATGTATATCCTTTGTGTCATTTTATAAGGGAATTTGAATTTGGATTTGTTCTCTTTATGTGTCACTTTAAAGCTTTTAAGTTGTTAGTCTAAAATTGAAACATGCTACTTCAGGTAGCGTTCTTGGTCCATGGATGTGTCTCATCAGTTTGCAGAGGGTTCCTGTTCTTTTCAGTTTTTTTTTGCGCTACCCAGTAGGTAGTTACTTGAAATACAGTTGTTGAGTTTGATACTGACATGCATAAACAGTTATTCCTGTTTTCTTCAGGTGACTTTTTAATTGTTTTCATGTGGTTGAAATTTATCATATTCTGATTAATATCAGTGAACAGATATTTATTTGGAGGGCACATAACGATCTTTTGAGTATTTAGGATACATATTAATGGATAGAAACAATCCTCAGTCTTAAGGAACTTAATTCCTTAGCTACAATTTATAGACTTATTAGCTTACTTGGAATTTTGTATCTTTTTTGTAGGTTTCTGAGTCCAGTGGAGAGTTCTTCTTTAAATCTTCTGAGCTTTTCGAGAGTCCAGTCTATTTGGAGGAAGCTGCAGATGTGCTTTGTATTTTACAAGCAGGTACTGTGCTAAGATACGTTTCAGAAATAGTTTATTTTTCAGTGATACAGTGTAACATTTCAACCTTGAACATTATATTATTTTCAAATTGCCACCCATAATATTTATTTTAAATGACCAAAATAGGAAAGTTTATGAGATGATAAACTTTCTAAGTCTATCTAAATTTAGGTCACATCAGCTGAAGGTGTTCACTGTCTAATTTATTGAAATATTACGTATCGCTCATTTTATTAACTGAAACACACCTTGTTTACCCACAGAGCTTCCTTCTCTACTTCCCATAGTTGATGTAGCTGAAGCCTTGCTACATGTTCGAAATGGATCCTGGTTCCTGTGTCTCTTAGTGGCCAATGTCCCTGATAGTTTTAATGGAGGTAGGTAGATCTTATAAAATGGGATATTAAATTTTTTTCATTGGATAACTCAAAGGCTTGATTTTTTTTTTTAGTTACAGAAAAACATTAATGGAGATTTCATTTGAGTATTCTTAGAAATTACGGCCATTTTAGATACTGGGCTATAAGCCCAGTAATGGATTCTCTAGTTCAAAAGGTATGGTCATTTAGGAAATTTAGACAGTTGCAATTTTGAAATTTTAGAAAGGTATTTTTAGGTCAACTGAAGAGTAGCCTGAGACAGCATGTAATCAGAAATACCGGGAAATATATATTTTCTGTAAATTCTCTTTTTCATCATTGCTGCTGCCTTGCAGTCAAAGCAAGTTTAGAATAGAAAATGAGGGAGACCAGCTTTCTTGATATCTCTATTTTAGATTAATAATGACTGGAAGCTATTCTTTATTGAGTTATTTACTTCATGCAAGGTGATAAGTACTCTGAATTGGTTTTCTTAAGGCTTTATTTCAGAATCAATATTGCAACAAATTGTTGGTAGTTTTAGCTAAAAGGTCAGGGACTGGGTGAACCTTTTTGAGATTGACCAGTCTCCCAAGCCAGTCAAATCAACCTTCGGTCAAATGATTGAAGGCATTTATGTTGAATGTTATCAGGGAAAGAGTTCCTTTTGCTATGAATTGTTTTTGTCAGAGAAATCTGATACAAAGATTTTTTTTTCCTATTCTGTTGCTCCTTTCTTATCCTAGGTTTATTAATTTTGTCTGTGCAGAAGTTTTTCAGTTTCATGTAATCAAACTTATCTATTTTATCTTTTGCAATTTCCTCTAATTCTTGTTTTGTTAAGAATGTATCTCCTACCCATAGCTGTGGGAGGTATGGATAATTATTTGACAAACAGTCCTGTGTAGTGTATTTGCAGATAGAAAGATGAAACAAGATAGATTTGATCTTTAAAGACTTACAGTTAGTAGTAGGAGTAAGAAATATATACTGATAACTTTAATATGTTAGAATCTAAGTGAATAGTAATTAGAGTGCTATGTAGGAGTGAGTGATCATGACTTCCGGTTTCATCCCTCTTCAAACTTTGCATTAATTTTTTTTTTTGCATGACTCTTGACCCCCTGCTTTCAGCTGAAAATCTTGCCTCATATTTTTTTTTTCCCCGAGGCAATGAGGCAGTTGGGGTTAAGTGACTTGTCTAGGGTCATACAGCTAGTGTCAAGTGTCTGCTCTGAGACTGGATTTGAACTCAGGTCCTTCTGACTCTAGGGCTGGTGCTCTATGTACTGCGCCAACTACCTGTGCTGTTGCCTCATATTTTAATGAAAAAATTGAGGCCAGTTCTCTGAGAGCTGCTTCTTCTCCTTTCTTCCTCTTCTCACATCACCCATAGGTACCTTCTGCCATTATTTCCTTCTTCACTCTGTCTCGTGAAGAGGTAGCACTTCTTGCCAAATCTTATCTACATGTACAAGCGATCTCATTCCAGCCTGTCTTCACCAGCAAATTGCCTTTATCATATTTATTCTCTCACTTGTTTTGACTCTCTCCCTGTCTACTGGCTGCTTTCCTACTGCCTGCAAATATGTCTATGTCTCGCTTATTTTCAAAAAACCTTCACTTGACCTATCCATCCTTAATAACTATTGTCCTAAATCTCCTGCCTTTTTGTAACTAGCTTTCTTGAGAAGGCCTTCTATCTATAATAGATGCCTCCATGTCCTTTCTTCTCAATTTCTTCTTAATTTTCCACAGTCTAGTTTCCCACCTCATCATTCAACCAAAATTATTTTCTCCATAGCTACCAAGGATTTTTTCTTTTTTTTCTTTTTTCAACTTATTATTTTATATAACATTCTTTTCTTTTTAAATTTAGAGTTCCAAATTCTCTCTCTCCCTCCCACCCCATTCCCCACCTACTGACAATGTAAGCAATATGATATCAATTATACATGAGAAATCATGCAAAACATTTCCAAATTAACCACATTAAAAAAAAAACCAAGAAAAATAAAGAAAGTGAGAAAATTATACTTCAGTTTATATTCATAGTTCATCAGTTCTATCTGAAAGTAGATAGCATTTTTTCACCATGAATCTTTTGGAATTGTCTTGGATTGTTTTGATCAGAGTAACCAAGTCTTTCACAGTTGATCATTATTACAACATTGGTATTACTGTGCACAATAATCTCTTGGTTCTTCTCCCTTTACCTCTGTTCGTATAGGCCTCGCCATGTTTTTCCTGAAACTACCCCCCTTATCATTTCCCACAACATAATAGTACTCCATCATAATCACATGCTGCAATTTGTTCAACCATTCCCCAGTTGATGAGCATCTCTTAGATTTCCAGTTCTTTGGCACTACAACAATTGCTGCTATAAATATTTTTGTGCGTATCGGTCCTTTTCCTTTTTCTTTAGTCCCTTTGGTATACAGACCTAGTAGTGGTCTTACTGGGTCAAAGGGCATGCAAAGTTTTATAGCTCTTTGGGCCTAGTTCCAAATTGTTCTCAAGAATGCTTGAACCAGATCACTACTTCCCCCAACAGTTCATTACTGTACCTATTTTTCCTTCTTCCCCTCCAGCATTTATCATTTCTGATAGGTGTGAGGTGGTACCTCAGAGTTGTTCTAATTTGCCTCTTTCTAAACAATAGTGACTTAGAGCATTTTTTTCATGTAACTACAAATAGCTTTGATTTCTTCTTCTGAAAACTGCCTGTTTATATCCTTTGACCATTTGTCAATTGGGGAATGGCTCTTATTTTTATAAATTTGACCTAGTTCTATTCTCACTATATATTTGAAAAATGAGAACTTTATCAGAGAAACTTGCTATAAAAATTCTTGTCTTTGGTATCTTTTAGCAAAATGTAGTTTCTCTGATTATCTCTTTTAATTAGGTCTGTTTTTGCTTTTGCTTTGTCTGAGATCATGGTTGTTACCCTTGCCCTTGAAGCATATTAGATTCTGCTGCAGCCCTTTATTTTAACTCTGTGTGTCTTTCTATTTCAAGTGTGTCTCTTGTAAACAACATATTGTTGGATTATGGTTTCTAATCCATTCTGCTGTTTCCATTTTATGAGTGAATTCATCCCATTTGTAATCACAATTATGATTACTAACAGTATATTTCTTTCCATCCCATTTTCTTCTGTTTGTTTTTTTCTTTGTCTCTTGTCCATCCTCTAAAGTCTATTTTGTTTCTAACCACTGCCTCCCTTAATCTGCCCTCCCTTTTATCGTAACTCCACCAACCCTTTTTCTATACACATCTGAGTGTGTGTGTGTGTGTGTGTGTGTGTGTGTATATATACACAATATATTCTTCCTTCTTTGAACCAATTCTGATGGGAATGAAATTCAAGCATAGCCCATCCACTCTTAACCCCACCCATTTTCCTCTTCACTGTATAAGCTTTTCCTTGCATGCCTCTTTTAATGTGAGAAAATTTTCCCCATTCTACCTCTCTCTTCCCACTTCTCCCAGTGTATCCCCTTCATTTTTTTTTGGAGATCATTTCAACATAATTGACTCACATCTATGCCCTCTCTCTATGTAAACTCCTTTTAACTGCTCTAATAATGATAAAGTCTTGGGAGTTACATGTATCATCTTCCCATATAGGAATGTAAATAGTTTAACTTTATTGATTCACTTACTCTTTCATGTTTCCATTTGTATGCTTCTCTTGAGTCTTATGTTTTAATGTCAGTTTTTCTATTTAGTTTTGGTCTTTTTATCAGGAATGCTTGAAAATATTCTGTTTGATTAAATGTCCATTTTGTTCCCCTGAAGGATTATATTCAGTTTTGCTGGGGGAGGTTATTCTTGGTTGTAATCCTAGCTCCTTTGCCATCTGAAATATCATATTCTAAGCCCTGTGCTCCTTTAATGTGGAAGCTGCTTGTGTGATCCTGACTGTGGCACTATGATATTTGAATTATTTGTTTCTGGTTACTTGAAGTATTTTCTTCACCTTGGAGCTCTGGAATTTGTTTGTAATATTCCTGGAAGTTTTCATTTTCTCTTTCAGTCTCTTTCAGGTGGTAATCCATGGATTCTTTCCATTTCTGTTTTATCCTCTGGATCTAAGATATCAGGGCAGTTTCCCTTGATAATTTCTTGAAATATGATGTCCAGGCTCTCTCTTTGGTCATGACTTTCTGGTAGTGCAATAATTCTTAAATTAACTCTCTTTTTTCTGTTTTCCAGGTCATTTGGTTTTCCTGTGAAATATTTCACATTTTCTTCTATTTTTGTGTTCTCTTGACTTTGTTCTATTGTCTCTTGATATCTCATGGAATCACTAGTTAGCTTCCACTTTCTCAATTCTAATTTTTAAGGAATTCTTTTTTTTTTTCTTTTTTGGCTAGGCAGTGGGGTTAAGTGACTTGCTCAGGGTCACACAGCTAGTAAGTGTCAGGTGTCTGAGGTCAGATTTGAACTCAGGTCCTTCTGACTCTGGGGCCAGTGTTCTATCAACTGTGCCACCTGCCTGCCCCAGGAATTATTTTCTTTAGTGAGATTTTGTACCTTTTCTTCTACTTGACCAATTCTGTTCTTTAAGGAGTTCTTTTCTTCGGTGAATTTTTATGCCTCTTTTACCATTAGGCCAATTCTTTTCTTTTTAAGGTGTTATTTTTTTCAGTTTTTTTTTGTGCCTCTTTTACCAAATTGTTAATTCTTTTTTCATAATTTTCTTATATCACTCTCATTTCTTTTCCCAATTTTTCCTTTACCACTCATCTCTTTCTTTAACTCTTCCAGGAATTCTTGTTGGGTTTTGAGTTCATTTAGCACTTTTTTCTTTGAGGCTTTTTTTTTGTAGCTGTTTTTACATTGTTGTCTTCTTATAAGTTTATGTCTTGGTCTTCCTTGCTACTATAGTAGCTTTTTATCGTCAAATTCCCTTTTTGTTGTTTGCTCATTTTCCCTGTGTATTTCTGTACTTTAAATTTTATGTTATAGTTGGTTTCTGCTCTCCTGGGGATGGGGAGGCACTGTACTAAGCTTCAGGCTTTCTTGTGCTGCTGTTTTTAGAACTAGGCCCCTGGTCGCCTGCACCTGAAAGCACTAGTGCTCTCTTTGCCTCGGAATTGCAACTAGAACCCCTATTCCCTTGTGACCGGCCGCCAGTGTTTCTCTTCACCCTGGAACTGCATCCCAGAATGTGTATGGACAGTAGACTTGCCAATCAATGCCAGTTCTATCCAGTGCCAGCAGGGGTTTCCCTGTAATTTCTTTCTGACCAGTTTTCTAATCCCCTTAGTGTCTCTGGGCTAAAAACTCCTGAAGCTGCTGTTGATGTGACCTTGTGTGGGCTCCAGACAAATTTCTACCCTGATGTCACAAATTCTTCCTGCTCACCTAAGTTTTCTTAGGCTGGAAAAATGTCTCACCCTGCTGCTCCAAAATTTGTTTTGAGGCATTATTTTTAATTTGTTTGGAAAGGAATATTGAGAGAATTCATCTAGGTTGCCTCTAACCTGTCATCTTGTCTCCACCCCCAGTGATTTCTTAATTGCCAGATCTGATGGCCTTTTCTTCTCATCATTCTTGACCTCCAAAGCCTTTGACACTGTTGATCACCCTCTTCTTGAAATTCTCTTCCATCCAAGTTTTCAGGATGTTACAGTCTTCTGATTCTCTCGCATATCTAATTGCTCCTTCTCAATGTTATTTGATGGATCTTCATCCAGGTCATGATAATCATATGTATCCTGATGGGCCCTCTTCTCCCTCTATACTGTTTTACTTGTTGATCTCATTAGATCCCACTGATTCAGTTGTCATCTCTATGCTGCTGGATTCTCAAATCTAGCCCTAACCTGTTTGCTGACCTCCAGTGTTTTTTTTTTTAATTTTTAATTAATTTATTTTGAATTATCAACAATCGCTTCCATAACCTTTTGAGTTTTAAATTTTTCTCCCTCCCCACCTCCCTCCCCAAGATGGTGCGCAATCTGATATAGGCTATACATACATATTCCTATTAAACATATTTTCACATTAGTGATGTTATAAGTAAGAATTAGAACCAATAGGAGGAACCACCAGAAAGAGGAAACAAAGCACAACAGAAGAAAAAGAAATAGCAAATAGTATGCTTCGATCTGCATTCTAACTTCATAGTTCTTTCTTTGGATGTGGATTGCATTTTCCAACATGAGGCCTTTGGAGATGTCTTAGATCCTTGTATTGCTGAGTAGAGTTAAGTCTATCGATATTAGTCATCGTACAGTGTGGCTGTTACTGTGTACAATGTTCCCCTGGTTCTGCTCATTTCACTCAGCATTAGACCATGCAAGTCTTTGTGGGTTTTTCTGAAGTCAGCCTGTTCATCATTTCTTACTGCACATTAGTATTCCATTACATTCATATACCACAACTTGTTCAGCCATTCCCCAATTGATGGGCATCCTCTCAATTTCCAATTCTTTGTCACCACTAAAAGAGCTGCCATAAATATTTTTGTACATGACCTCCAGTCTTGTATTTCCAGCTGCCTACCAGATATCTCAAACTGAATATCCTTTAGATGTATTAAACTCAGCATGTCCAGAATTGAATTTATCTTTCCAAACCCTGTCCCATTCTTAACTTGCTTATTGATGTGAGGGTGCCATAATCCTCCTAGTCATCGCTCAACTTAGACGTTATCCTTGATTCCTCACTCTTAGTTCCTATTTGTAATTTCTTTCTAAGACCTGTCAATTTTACCTTTGTAACGTCATTAGCATGTGACACTTTCTCCTCTGACACTTCATTTCCCTGGTTCAGAAACTGATCACTTTAGTACATTGACTTTAGCAATGGCTTGTCAGTAGGTTTTCCTGCTACAAGTCTCTCCCCCCTGTAATCCATTCTCCACACACTTGTGATAATGATCTCCTAAAGTCCAATGACTCCCTGTCATCTCTGGGATCAATGATAAAATCCACTTTTTGGCATTGAAAGACTTTGATAACTTTGTCTCCCCTCCTCCTTACTTTTCTAGTCTTCTTATACCTTAGAACCCTCATCCCCAGTACTGTTACGCTTAGTGATATTGGCCTTTTTGCTGTTCCCCATGTAAGACTGAATTTCCCATCTCCAGTCATTTCACTTAGCTTTTCACCATGCTCTCCCACCTCATTTCTACCTCCTGGCTTTCTTCATGTCCTAGCTAAAATCCCGCCTACAAGAAGCCTTTCCCATTTCCCCTTTATTCTAGTGTCTTACCTTTGTTGATTGTTCCCAATTTGTTTTGTATATTGCTTATTTGTACATAGCTGTTTTCATGTTGTTTCCCCTTTTTAGACTGTGAGCTTCTTGAGAGCAGGGCTTGTCTTTTACCTTTCTTTGTATCCCCAATGCTTTGCACAGTGCCTCGCACAAAGTAGGTGTTTTATTAAATGTTTATTGACAGACTGAGGAAAGGCTTTATGAAGGAGGTTGCATCTGAGCTGAGATAGAGATAGTAGGAAGAGTTGGGAATGAGTATTCCATTCAGGCTTGGGTGACTATGGGCAAAAGCACAAAGATAGGAAAGGGCAAGAAGTCAGGAAACAGCAAGTAATCCATTTTGTCTTGAATAATGTGTGAGAGGAATAGAGTACAATAAGACTGGAAAAAGTAGGTTGAAGCCAGATTTCAGAGAACTGTGAATGTTAGGCTAAGGAGTTTTTAATTTCATAAGCATTAGGGAGCTTCTTAAGGCAGCCTTCAAAGATTGCTGATGCTTGGGGCTATTTTTGCTTTTCTTTGTATCTCATGAGCTTACTATGCCTTGTACATAGTAAGCCCTTAAATACCTGTTGGCTATGTTAAATAGCTTATGAAGTTGAACTGATTGAGTCTTCTTAATGTTCAGTTTGTAGAGGATTGATTAAGAATGGTGAACGGCAAGATGAGGAAAGCCTGGGTGGACGGCGTAGGACAGATGCCCTACGTTTCTTATGTAAAATGAACCCTTCTCAGGCTCTGAAGGTCCGAGGCATGGTGGTAAGAGACATGATTTTTGATGGGATAAAGGGAATGAAACAGGTCTTTAAATAGGTAGTATTCTGCCATTGGTGAGAGCAAAGACTTTTCTCCAGGTAGTCTGAGTGCTCATCTTTGGAATTGGGTGCGATTTCCTTTGTATTCATTTCACCTTTCTCTCTGAACCTTTGTTTTTTGGGAAATCTAACCCCAGGCTTGCCAGTCCTAGTTGCCATACATTGACCTTGGTTTGTTTTTTGTGCTTTTAGGTAGAGGAATGCCACCTGCCAGGCCTTGGAGTAGCTTTAACATTGGATCATACTAAGAATGAAGCTTCTGAAGATGGAGTGAGTGACCTGGTTTGTTTTATTAGTGGTTTGTTGCTTGGCACAAATGCAAGAGTTCGGACTTGGTTTGGAACTTTTATTCGAAATGGACAGCAGGTAAGAAACACTGGGAAGTGAGAATTAAGAGCTCAGAATTTATTAGGGGCTGCTGAAAGGGAAAAAACATATCTACTTTGAAAGTGGTGATTTTTTTCAAAATAAATTATTATGGTGCATTTGCTTAAGACTTTAATACTTCTAAAATGCATTATAGTGTTTAAAGTTTTTCTCCAACAGTTCTTATACAACTCTCTCCAAACCCAATAATGGCTAGTTGTCATAGATCAGTCTTCAGTATAATAGCTGCTCATTAACTCGGTGTAATGGTAAAAAGTTAAACTTATTAATTATGATTCCACTAATTGGATATTGTAATAATTTAATGGAGCCTGGGCTGATGCAAACTGGGCAATGCAGATGTTCACATTTTGATACTACCATTTTTAAAATTTTTTATTTTATTTATTTCTTTTTTGGTGAGGCAGTTGGGGTTAAGTGACTTACCCAGAGTCACACAGTTAGTAAGTGTTATGTGTCTAAGGCTGGATTTGAACTCAGGTCCTTCTGACTCTAGGGCCGGAGCTCTATCCACTTTGCCACCTTGCTGCCACCCTACCATTTTTTTTTTTAAATAAGAAAAGGTTTCATAGAAAGTTGCATTGGAACACACACTTTTGTTGTGTATTTTCTTTTTAAAAATTTAGTTTTGGGGCAGCTAGGTGGCGCAGTGGATGGAGCACTGGCCCTGAAGTCAGGAGGACCTGTGTTCAAATCCGGCCTCAGACCAAACACTTGACACTTGCTAGCTGTGTGACCCTGGGTAAGACACTTAACCCCAATGCCTAAAAAAGAAAAAAAAATGTAAAAAAAAAATTAATTTTATTGTTTATTTTATTCCTGCCTTTCCCTACCACCACTGGGGCGAACAAAAAAGAAAGAAAGAAAAACAATATCCTTAAAACAAGTATGTGTAATCAAACTAAACAGCAAATTCCTATATTGGCTATGTCCAAAAACCATATGTCTTTTTCTGTCCTTCAGGAGGTGGATAGCTTGCTTCATCAAAATTGGTCCTTTGGAATTGTGGCTGGTCATTGCATTGGTCAGAATTCTTAAGTCTTTCATTAACATTGTCATTTTATCATTTGTACTCCTGGTTCTGCTTATTCAACTCTTCATCAGTTCATTTAAGTCTTCCCAGGTTTCTCTGAACTCATCTCTTTTCATCATTTCTTATGGCACAATAGTATTCCATAATTGTTCATCCATTCTCCCATTGATGTGTATCCTCTTAATTTCTCATTATTTACTATGACAAAAAAATGCTTCTATAAATATTTTTGTACATATGAGTTCTTTTCCTCTTGCTCTGGTCTCTTTGGAGGGTATATTCCTATTAGTAGTGGTTTTGGGTTAAAGAGCATGTATACATGTATGGCTTAGTGACTTTGCTTTCCAGAATCTTTCCCAATCTGATGAGTGTAAGTTGTTGTAATTTGCATTTCTCTTAGTAGTGATATAGAGCATTTTAAAATATGGTTATTGATAGCTTGTATCTTTTGAGAACTGCTTTTTCTATATCTCTTGGCCATTTATTTATCATAGAAGGGTTCTTGTTATATATTTGGTTTATTCTCTATATGTCTTGGATAGCAGACTTTTTAAAGAGAAACCTGCTAGAATGATTTTTTTTCCTCCAGTTACCTGTTTCCCTTCTGATTTTAGCTGCTTTGATTTTTGCCAAACTTTTAAAAATTTTACACAATAAAATTTGTCCTTTTTAGTCTCCTGTGTTCTTCTGTTCCTTGTTTGGTCAAGAGGTCTTCCCCTATTCATAATTGTGAAAGGTAGCTCCTTCTTTGCTCCTCTGATTTATTAATACGACCATTTACACATAGGTTATATATCTATTTGGAGCTTATTGTAATATGTGGTATGAATACTGGTTTAAACCTAATTTCTGACAGACTGCTTTCCATTTTTTCCCTGCAGATTCCCTTACATTTTATACCACAGTTTGTCCAGCCATTCCTTAATCAGAGGATTTACTTTACTTCCTCTTCTTTGTATTACAAAAAATGACCAGTCCATTTTTCCAATGAATAATATGAGTCAATTTCAAGTGTTAAGTGGGGTGCTTTGTTTAAACTTCCTTTTGACTCAATAAGTGCTTAATGCTTCCCTCCTGTGGCCCATATTCCTTGCAGAAAAAAAGAGAGACCAGCAGTTCTGTGCTTTGGCAAATGAGAAGGCAGCTTCTCTTGGAGTTGATGGGCATCCTTCCCACAGTAAGAAGTACACGCATCGTGGAAGAAGCTGATGTAGAGATGGAGCCTAACGTGTCTGTGTATTCAGGGCTGAAAGAAGAGCATGTTGTGAAAGCCAGTGCATTGTTACGTCTTTATTGCGCTTTGATGGGAATTGCTGGACTCAAGTATATATTATTTTGATATTTCATCCTATAAAAATTTTATCTTCTTATTTTTACTTCTAAAGAAGTGAATGAAAAGTCTCTTATTTAGAGAGTTCCCAAGTTTCATACTAGACTAAGCTTAGATCATTCTAATTCATTGTAATAAATCTTTATTAAGCACCTACTATGTGGAGGCACGACAGTCAACCATGTCTTGCCCTCAGGGAACTTACATTCTAAGTGTAGACAAATGTAGCATGGACATAAGTAAGTACAAAATACGTACAAAGCAATTTCTGGTTCAGAGAAGGGGCTAACAACCCGGGGGATCAGGAGAGTCCTAGTGCAGTAGGTGGCCCTTGAGCAGAGCCTTGAAAGGAGTGGAGCTAGGTATTCTAGTAGGGAAAAATGTAGAGAAAGAGATCCTAGGCACTGGGGGATAGCCAATGCTAAGGCACACATGTATGAAATGAAGCATCCTGGAAAAGAAGTCAACCGGATGGAAATGTTGAGTTCTTCAAGAGGAATATTTCATAAAAGTGGGAAAAGAATGCATGTGGAAGTGCTTTCTAAACTCTAAAGTACTGTATAAATGTAAGGCATTATTGTTTTAGAGTTTGAAGGTATTAAAACTTCAAACTGTATCAAAACTTTTGGGACAACCTGTGTTATATTCTCAGACCACACCTTACAAGCCAAGTTTGTGTACACCAGAAAGGAATCCTTCCTTTCTGTGTGATCATGTTTATTAGGGACTTACTTATTTTTGTTTGCCTATAAAAGTCATAGTGTAGATACAGGTAGAACCAGAACAGTCTATCTTCCTTTAATTGCTTTGTTAGATTATCTATATCTTAACCCTGTTAGAGTGACTTGGGTGAAACTCTGATGGACGAGAAACTGTTCAGCATAAACAGAATTAAGATAAATCTGTCTTCTTTCCTCCTACTTCTGAATAACTTTCTTTTTCAGATGTTTTCTTCCTGAGAGGGACTAGCAAACTAGATGACCTCTCAGCTGCCTTACAGCTCTGGATTTATGAGCCAGCTGGTTATAAATTGTTTATGTGGTTGTAAGGTACACAAACACAGAATTGTTCTTTGACCACCGCCCTTTTTTGAATCTTTTTTATTAATTGTTTACTTTAGTCTGTTTCAGAAAGAACATATTTTAGATTTAAAATCTCTCAGGGTTTTACATATGGCAAGTTTGGATATTAATCATTGTGTAAAGTTGTTTTTTTTTTTTTCATGAAAACAGAGGTCATATTACTTGGAACATCTTTGACTTCAAAAAATTGACTTCTTTTAGGCCAACTGATGAAGAAGCTGAGCAGCTATTGCAGCTTATGACAAGTCGTCCTCCTGCAACACCAGCTGGGGTTCGCTTTGTTTCACTTTCCTTTTGTATGCTACTCGCCTTTTCCACGCTTGTCAGGTATCTTTATGGAAATGTTGCTCTGTCTTTATTAACCTTTTTGAAGATATTTCTTTCACTTGTTAAATGCACAACTAGCAGGAGATTAGAGATTTCCAGCAGATTCAAGTTTGGATCAAAAGTGTTATGCGTAGGCTTTTTTTAATGATATCACTCAAGATCCATTCGTAGCCCTATTGCTTGCCTCCATTTCTTTCCCAGTCAGTGGCATATAGCAGGGGAAGTACATTTTTCAGCTGCTTTTGTTCATCTTGTCATCACTGCTGTAAGGCGGAAAGACAATTGGAAACTGTCTTGGTAGGTCAGGCTTTCTCTGTATCTTTCAGGGGTTTAAGTCCCAGATCATTAATAAAATGAAATTCTGGCAATTAAAAATATCCAAAACAGTGTTAATAATATAACCTCATACTCTGGTCTGTGTCTCTTGCTCTTCTTGCTCTACCTTATCTGACCTTATTTTCCTTTGCTACTGACGCCTGGACTCATTTGGTTGGCTTGAGTAGGCTGAATTTGATGTATAGGTTTTTAGAGCCTGCAGCTGTGGATATAAAATACAAGTTTAACATATAACATGTAAACTAAGTCCAGAGGCTAGACATCCCTTTTTTAAAAAAGCCACAGATATAATTCTTTACCACTCCTTGGACATTCGGTCACCCTTCTGTGTGGAGTCTGATCATGATTTTCTTTGGTTTTCACTTCTGTAAAATGGGGGAGTTGGTTTAGATATCCTCTTAGATCCTTTGCAGTTCTACATCTGTGACCCTGTGGTCCTCAGGTGTTTATATTTTTTATTGTGCCCCAAACAAGTAGTTGAAATGACATTTGCCTGGTTGTTTGCAGATCCTGATGAAATGAATTTTGCCATTGTGCTGGTACTCAGTCATTGTCTACTTAGGATGTGGATGTTAACTTGGTAGAGACTCTTCACGTCAGCTAGTCAACTAGGAGACGTTACTGTGGCCTTCCCACCGTTTCAGTCCCAACAGTACTGTGTGATCAGTTCAAATATCTGCTCTGCTGATAAAAGAGGCCAAACTTGAGAACGTCTGATTTGATCAGGTCCCTGTAAAAAGGCAGTGGCAGGGCCAGGCCTGGTCCTCCTTTCTTGGTCTCCTGGGTCATTTACTAGTTCTGTTGAAAAAAATTAAATTTAATACTTTGTTTATCTTCTTGTTAATACTTTAAATGAAGGGAAAAATAATTTTACTGAAGCATATACTTTTCCATAATACTTTGTTTAGAGTGGTTATTCTGTATCTGAATTAAACTATTAATGTTCTGACATGTTTTATTCAGTACACCTGAACAGGAGCAGCTAATGGTGATGTGGCTAAGTTGGATGATAAAAGAAGAAGCTTATTTTGAAAGGTAAGACTGCTTAATATCTTTTTTTATTAGGTGACAGAACTTTTATTATCCTCTCTTATCATTTTTCATTTCTATTCTGTTACAACAGTACTTCTGGAGTGTCAGCCTCCTTTGGGGAGATGCTGTTACTGGTGGCCATGTATTTCCATAGCAACCAACTGAGTGCTATCATAGATTTGGTCTGTTCAACATTGGGGATGAAGGTATTTTCCCTCCTTCCTAAAGAAGAGTACACTTCAATTCAAGTTGTTTTTCTAGAACATTAATATAAGTTGATTTGGTTCCATTGTTAACCTTATTTTAATTGAATATTTTTAATATTAGAAAATTTTGAAAAGGATATTTCTTTTATGTTTGAAAAATCAATGAGGCAAACTTCTCGAAACAAGTGTTTTTACCTAGAGCTAATTTAGATCATGTGGACCTTTTCTCATTTTGTACTACACATGTCATCTCTTTCATACTATAATTAATATTCATTACCTATTTATGCCATTATTTCAGATTGTGATTAAACCAAGCTCTTTGAGTAGGATGAAGACCATCTTCACTCAGGAAATTTTTACTGAGCAGGTATTTTCCTTTAACCCTAGGTACTTACTTAACTTACCTCTAAAGCACGCTGTGATGTAAACTTGTTGAATATCTGACTTTAATAGCCAAATATCTGAGATTATGATCCATATTCTTCTTAAAAGTCTCTCAGTGGTTTATTTCCTTGTTGGAACACTTGTAGAGATTAATACAGTTTTTGGAGCCATGTGTTACTCAATACATGTTTTAAATTGGATCTCTTCATATCACTTTTATTAAGGGGTATTTGAATGACTAGTCACTGTTAATAATTGTTCTGCTAGTTAGGTGATTTCACAGAGGATGGTAGTAACTTTCATTTGCCAGAAAGAAACAGAACTCTACATATTTTAATTTAAATTTCTGTCAGTGTGTAAGATTAGACATTGAGAATTACTTGATTTTATTTGACAATTTCTTGTTTGGCCCTTGGCTACCTAAGATCAACCCATGGATCAATCAATCAATCAATCAATCTAAATCATACTGAATCTTAAATTCTAAGTCTAATGGATGGTAGGATTCACTGGACTGTTAAAGTTTAATTCCTTACTTTAAGTATCTTTGAATACTGGAAATAGGTATATGTGATTAATCAGGACAACCTGCTATTCATAGATAACACTTTTTTCAGTGAAGCCTTATTTATTAGTATAATAAAAGTATTTTTTTTTTTAACCCTTAGGTTGTCACAGCTCATGCTGTTCGGGTTCCTGTAACCAGTAGCCTCAGTGCCAACATTGCTGGGTTTTTGCCTATCCACTGTATTTATCAGCTTCTCAGGAGTAGATCCTTTACCAAGCACAAAGTGTCAATAAAAGTAAAATTCCATTTCTGTTTCAAAGCATTACATTGCAGTTAAACATTTCCTATTACTTTTTTCTGCAGTTTTGCAATCCAGATACTATTATGGTGTTTACTTTTGGTTGTTTGAATGTAAAATATTGAACTAAGTGTATTGTTTAATGATTCACACAGAATATAAGCCACTGTATAATTAATATTTTAAAATTATATAATTTGCAAAATTATTGTGTACATTTTACAATAGTGCTAGCTAATCTAGATCCTGAATTAGTAATACAAATTATTTATCTTATGTAAGATGATGTTTATCCATATTTTGAGTTAACCAATTTTTGTCACAGTTGGCCATTTCTGTCCAAAGCAGACTTCTGAAATAGTATTTAAATATCAGGAAAAAAAATTTATCAAAAGACCAGTTCTGGAAGATTTTTCCAAATAGAAGACTGAAAACTAGGATTTTTTTTTCTTGGTATTCTAGAGCCCCACTTCTAGTAGCAATGGGCATTTTATTTGCCAGTAGTTGTGTGCATGTACATATGACACAGCATTCTTCTCTGTTTTCTGTTTCTGTGTAAAGATCATAGACTTGATGGTCTGTAGGACTGGATGAGACCTTATGGTTCAAGTAGTCCAATCTCATGGTTGTACAGCTAAGGACACTGAAACTCATGGGCCTACCATTATCCCAGCCCTGAGAGTCAGAGCCAGGACTAGAACCAAGAATTTCTAGTCCTGTGTTCCTTCGCTATCTCTTCAGATTACCTTCTACCTAGGGATTGCTGTTATGAAACACATACTATCCTCCCTTGAACCTGCTGCTTCTCAACTCTCCAACTATCAGATATGATTTTAAAATTAAGTTGCATTTTTGATTTGAAGGGGTACACAGTAATGTGGTCCCATGTTTTACCTCAATTTTGAAAGGATTATATGGGTTTTTTTAATCCTCTTAAGGCAGATCAATAAGAATTTATTAAGTGCTTATAATGTACTCATTGTATATTTGAGACTGAGTAAATGAGATTTTTGGAAATGCCTTCCAAAACAATTGTCTTAGTCAATCCATGCAATTAATGTCAAGAACCTCCCCACTATATATTGCAGTCATTTGGCACTTGATAAAGTCTTCACTTTCAAACATATGAAAACCCAAGTTTTTTGTTTTAGTACCTATACTCCATCATTGAGAGTCAATTGTAGAAATAGCCCAAAGCCAAGTTATTGGATTTAATATTAGAACTAAATATGTTTTGAAATTGCTACAAATTAAATTTAGATTTATTACCAATTTATAAGTCATGCACAAATATATTTGCTATATTGAAATTTTCACTTGAATTTTCTTGCTGCTGTAATTGATTCTACCTCTAACCTGCTTCTTCAGGACTGGATTTATAGACAGCTGTGTGAAACCTCCATTCCACTCCACCCTCAGTTACTTCCGCTTATTGACGTGTACATAAATTCTGTTCTTACTCCTGCTTCTAAATCAAATCCAGAAGCCACAAACCAACCAATCACAGAACAAGAGATACTCAGTGTTTTTAAAGGACTCATTGGGGTAAGACTTTTTTTTAGTGCTTCCAATTCAGGCTTTTCTCTTTTGGTTCAATCATCTGATTAAGTCCATTTGTTTTCTCTTTTGGACTAATGGTAGATGATCTTAGATGATTTCTATATAGTCCAGAATTTCGTAACCAGGGGTGAATTTTTTTTTTCAGACGTTTCTAAAGCTAAAATGAATGATAATTAAAAAGTAGTTTGGCAGATGGAAACTTTATGAGGAAATCCTGTTTTCTCTTCTTCTCTTTAGTGGAGGAAACCCGAGGACTTTTGCTTAGGTCTGAGGATTTCCTTGTGAACTTGGGGGTTGGAGAAAGCTTTTTGAGAAAGTGCAGCATATTCACGTGCTCTGGCCAAGTCCATGAGCATCCACGATGCACCTGGACTCACTTATGGAGGACTGAAGAAAGGTGGTTTTTTTTCTTGGACAAAACAGTACAGCATTGTTCACTAGCATTGTTTAATACATAATTGTCCAAGAGTTGCTTTCTCTGTGGTAATTAAAAAAATTTTTTAAAAATATTTTTATTTAAAGTTTTGAGTTTCAATTTCTATCCCTCCCTCTCTGAGATAGTAAGCAGTCAGATACAGGCTATATATGTGCAATTATGTAGAACATTTCCATATTAGCCATTTTGTAAAAGAAGACTTGGATAAAAGAAAAAAATGAAAGAAAGTGAAAAATAGCATGCTTTAGTCTGTATTCAGTCAATATCACTTCTTTCTTTGGAGGCAGATAGTATGCTTCGTTGTTAGTGCTTTGGGCTTGTCTTGGATCATTGTATTTCTGAGAATAGCTAAGTCATTCACAGTTCTTCATCAAATAATATTACTGTTACTGTGTTGTTCTGTTCACTTCACTATGCATTAGTTCATGTAAGTCTTTACAGGTTTTTCTGAAATCATCCTGTTTGTCATTTCTTATAGCACAATAATATTCCATTACAGTCATATACCACAGTTTGTTTAGCCATTCCTCAATTGATGGGCATTCCTTTGATTTCCAGTTCTTAGCCACCACAAAAAGGGCTGCTATAAATATTTTTGTCCTATTTTTTTTTTTAATGTCTTTGGGATATAGACTTAGCATTGGTATTGCTGGATCAAAGGGTATGCACAGTTTTATAGTTCTTTGAGCAGAGTTCGAAATTGATCTCCAGAGTGGTTGAATCAGTTCACAAGTGTATCAACAGTGTGTTAATATTCCAGTTTTCCCACATCCCCTCCAACATCTAACATTTTCCTTTTTTGTCATTTTAACCACTCTGATAGGTGTGAGGTGGTACCTCAGAGTTGTTTTATTTTGCATTTTTATGATCAGTAGTAATTTAGAGCATTTTTTCATATGACTATAGGTAGTTTTGATTTCTTTGTCTGAAAGCTACCTGTTCATATTCTTTGACCATTTATCAACTGGGGAATGACTTGTATTTCTATAAATTTTACTCAATTCTCTATATATTTGAGAAATGAAGCCTTTATCAGAGATAACTGTTGCAAAATTTGTTCCCCAGCTTTCTGTTTTCCTTATAATTTTGGTTGCATTGGTTTTGTTTGTGCAAAAACTTTTAAATTTTATATAATCAAAATTATTTATCTTACATTTTGTAATGCTCTTTATATCTTCTTTGGTCCTAAATTCTTCCCTTATCCATAAATCTGACATAAACTATTCCATACTCTCTTAATTTGTTTATTGTTTCCCCCTTTATGTGTAAATCATGTACCCATTTTGACTTTATCTTGGTATACAGTGTGAAATGTTGGTCTATACCTAGTTTCTGCCATACTGTTTTCCAGTTTTCACAGCAGTTTTTGTCAAACAGTGAGTTTTTATTCCAAAAGTTTGGATCTTTGGGTTCATCATACACTAAATTACTGTGGTCATTTACTATAATGTAATTTGTACTCCTGTGGCAATTTATGAGCACACCTTCTTGGGGATTAATAAACAAGATGCATATTAGTGCCCTTCAGAAATATTTCCTTAATCTTTGTGAAGTGTTGCTATTGCAAAAAATGGACTGTCTGTCCACCCTGTTCAGCATTTGAAAAGAGTAGTTGAGTTTGCTGTCTCTCAACCTTCATGCTTCCTAAAATAGGATATAAAAATTAGATTAGAATTTTGAATTGAGACAGTCATACTGCCTAGATTTCTCCTATACTTTGTTTGGCCTTTAGTGGCAAATTGAATTTTATATTTTGATTCCAGTACTAAAAGTGTCAAGTGAATATTACCTTGTCAAAGATCAGATATGTCTTATAAAAAATATAGTGAAGTGAAATTTATCAAGAGGTCTTGTCATGGTGTTTTTAATGAAGGAGGACTGATTTTTATCTGCAGGCTGACAGCACTAGAATTATACAGCATAACGGACAGTGTCACAGTATCACGGCCCAGCTCCTGATGTTGTACTACATACTGTCTTATGAAGAAGCCCTTCTTGCCAACACTAAGACTCTCGGTAGGTGGTTGTGTGCCTGGGAGCCCTGCAGGGGGTTGAAGGATTTTTTTTAGGTGTTGTTTCTTGTCAGTTCTTCGGATGAGTGGATGGTAGAATATATTCACGTAACTTAAAACAATAGATAAAGCCCACATCGTTTCCATTTGAGTTTGGAATGTTAACAAAATATGTATATACATACATATACTCTTAACTAACTGACATTGATCTTGTAGCTTTGCTTTACTTTAAGTATTCTGGCTTCTGGTTGTATAGTGATAGAATTTTGGAAATAATTGAGTTGACTATTTGAACCTTTAAAAATAATTTGTTTTCAGGAAATATGGTAATTGTTGAAGTCTCTTTGGAAGAGCTGTCACAAGATTTTTGAATCATTATCCCTTTGTTAGTATAAATGGTATAGACTTGAATATGTCTTAGGTATTATATATACACATATGTATATATGTCAACATATATGTATATTTCAACTATTAACAGTCTAAAAAATTACCATTATAGTCATTGAATTGGGCTTTTTAACTTTGCTTTTTTAGATAACATAATATGTCATATTAGAACAGGTGGAGTGCCTTTTTCTGTAACCAAGAAGGAAAGAAAGAAATTTCACATCTCTTTTAAGTCTGAATGGTCTTATATGTTATTTGAGATGTTTTTTGTTTTGTTTTGTTTTTGGCTAGGCGGTGGGGTTAAGTGACTTGCGCAGGGTCATACAGCTAGTTAAGTATTATGTGTCTGAGGCCAGATTTTAACTCAGGTCCTCCTGAATCCAGGGCCAGTGCTCTATCCACTGTGCCATCTAGCTGCCACACATTTTATGTTTGTTTTAAACTAAAAAGTCATCAGTAGAGTTGTAATGAATTTTTACTCTAGGGACAGTTCTTTGGCATTATCAGAAGGATAAGGGCATAGTTTTTTTTTTGTTTTTTTTTTGTTTTTTTAATCTTGCAAATTTAAATCACTTAGTGTTAGGCCCATCAGCTGTCCTTAATTTTTTTGAGAAATTTTGTTTTAAACATAATGTGAGTTTTTCCTCTGTTTCTTCCCTTTACTTTGAGGATTCTCTAGATGATGTCCCAATACCTAGCTATTATGTCAGGGAAAATTGGATTAATTGGTCTTACTACTTGTGTTGTCTCAAACCTTTGTCTAAGCATTGAGTTCTGAGAAAGAATACTGTTTGTTAAAAAAGGAAAATAAACCAACTCCCCCCCCCCCAAAAGAGTACTGTTTGTTATTTAATAATAGGTATTTGAATAAAAAAAAACTTTAAAAACCCCATCCTTTTGAGATTTTCCATTTGGAAAAGTTGGGCAGGATTTGAATAGCAGTCCTATCTGCAAATCCAAATGGTAAAAGTTTTAGGAAGATTCTTTTATTTGTGCTTTCATGCAGTTTTTGTGGCGTGAGTAGGAGGTACTTTTTGGGTTGTCACTGTGAAGTGAATGGGCACTATGAATCTCATCCTCTAAACGTTAATCATTTGAAACTTCTGTTTCTGTTCATGGCTGTGTTTACTTAGTGTCAAGATTTAATGGGTAACCATTAGGTGTCAGTTAGGAGAGAAAGAAGTCTAGATGTGTAGCTGACACTTAACACATAAGCAAAAGCCAGGCTTTGGGTGGGAAGCAAAAGGTAACTAAGGAGAGAGAGGATCAAGTTAATGAAGAGGTTGAGTTAATGGAAGGAGTTCTGTGTGAACTGGGGCCTGATATCGATCTCAGAGTTAGGGAAATTGGGTGAGAGGTTCTGATGTTAGGGGAAACTCCACTTCTACTTGGAGGTGGGGGAAAGTAGAAGCTGGACAGAACTTAAGAAGGAGTACAGACTTTTTTGGCAGACTTGTTTAGACCGATAAATCTGAAAAATCTCTAAGGCCTTTCTTGATCCCATTAATTTTTAGTGCTCCCACCCTCCCTTCAAGTTACTTTATATATTATATTATCTGTGTACTTGTTCTCCCCACTCCCCTACTCACACATGGAATGTAAATCTTTTCAAGGCAAGAATTGTTTTTTCTTTGTATCCTTAGTCCCTGATACAGAGTAGGCACTTAATAAATAAATGCTTGTTGGATTGAATTAAGTAAAATTGATCTCCTAAACTGGAAAGGCTAGATTTTAGCTGCTTTTTATACCTGTAATTGGCTAATGTTTCTAGTTTGTGCTGTTATAAATTTTGATGCCTGCGGGGGAAAGGAAGTACTCAAGGTGCCTGGCCTGAATGTGTTGCTGTTGATAACGACTTACTTCAGGGAGAAAGTTTAGAGTCTATAGCCATAGGTGGTCAAAAAGGTAGGCAATTATTTTTATCCTGTTGATGACTTTTTCTTCTGTACAGGCATGAAGTTGAGGGGCACAGTTGTATATTCACTATCTTAAAGATGAGTCATAAACTGAGTGCTTAGACTTATCATTCCTAAAGATCCTGTGCTATTAGTTTCTATAGTGGAGCATAGCATCAGAGGCAAAATCCATTTGGGTAATCAGTATTCTGTCTTGTCTATCTCCTGACATTTAGACGAAGTTGCTCTTTTCATTCAAAGGCACAGAAACACAGTTTTTTTTTTGCCATAATAGTCATGCATGCTTATTGGAGAAGATTGACATGCTACAGAAGTCCTCTACAATATTCGGAAATTCTTTGGAAAATTTGAGTGTTTCTGCCCAGAAATTTTGTCTCTAAAAATTTGTTCATGAGAATGGGCTAGAGGAGAATTACTTCATGTTTGAGGATTTTCCTGATTCTTTTCTCTTCGGAAAGTGGAGCTGGTCTGCATGGAGGGAAGTTTGATTCCACAAACATTAAATGTCCAGTGTGTGCAAAGCACTGTGCTAGGCACTGAGCTAGAGACAAGAGTTTAGCTAACTTAGGGTCCTTGCCCTCAGAATTTGTGGTCTAATAAGGTTAATGTACACACATAACTGTATTATGGGATACAGACACAGTGATATGTGATAAATGCATTAGAGAGGTATAAAACAGTGCTCCAGGACAAAGATGAGGGAAGATCTCAGAGGAGACATTTAAGTAGCACTCCAAAAGCTGGGTAAGAATTCAGAAGTGAAGAGGACATTTTAGGTACATGAGCGAAGACAGGGAAGTGGACAAGTGCAGGATGTGTTGGAGACAGTCATCTAGTTTGGCTGCACTGTGGAGTACACAGATTGGGTTAGGATAGGCAGCATTTGAGAAGGTTGCCTGGTTGTTGTTAATGCCTGCCACAAGTTTTACTACCTACTGCTTGTCACACTGTTATAACTTCAGCATCTTGGTAACCTCTTTGGTAAAAACAACTGCTTGTGTATTCACTGTTGTCTTGAGAGGAATATTAAACCACTGTATTGCGAACTTTTCAGATATCCTGTTGCTTAAAATATCCCAAAACCAGAATAAGTAAAACACTGTTAAAGATAACTTCAAAGCACTCAAAAATAATTTACTTGACCTATATAGGTATCTTTATACCTTGTTTGTACCAGGCACCATCAAGCAGACTTGAACAGACCCATTTTCTCAGATGAGCTACAAAGGTTTTCTGTGCACCTTGGTCTCAGAGCCATTGTCTTTATCTCTCTTTGTTTCAGTCCTCTGCTGTCCATGAACTTTTTTTCTGGAAAAAATCAACTTACTCTCTCGAGTAGGAGAACTTAAGTTCAAATCCTAGCTCTGCCTCTTCTTACCTGTGTGACCTTGGGCAAGTCTTCTTGTTCATCTTCTCTCTGAGCAAGTCCCTTAACCTCAGTTTTCTCATTTGCAAAATGAACTTTGTTAGTCAGTGAGCATTTTTAAGTGCCTGCTGTGTGCCAGGTGTTGTGCTAAGTGTTGGGGATACAAAGACAAAGTGGAAACAAAAGTCCAAGTCCCTGCCTTTGGGAAGCTTACCTTCTACCAGGAAGGACAAGATGTACACACTTATAGATATGGACAGAATAAAATAGGGATAGGGACTAGACCTGTGAGTGCCTGGCAGGATAATCCCTCTACTTAGCAAATTAGCCCTGTCTCTACAACTTCTTGTTGTATGTCCTTAGTTCTTGAAGAGGACCATGACATCATGGAGGTAATGCCATGAAATGCAGGTGAATTGGATTTAAGTGAGGGAGGGCTGTGCAAAGTCACCAGCCTCACTTTCTCTTCTGGAGCCATCTGGGTCTAGCGGCCAGATATACATCAGGATGACTGGAGATGGCCCCAGATGTGGTGGAAGACCTTCGTCTTTTAAAGCTAAGGTCTATATCAGGTCTCAGTTTGACTGAGGCAACACACATTCAGTGATTAAGGCTAGGTGAAAAAATGAAGCAAAGAATGGCTTATTTAACCTAGTCCAGAAAAAAGAAAAATCAAAGTGGGAGGTGAAGACCCCAGAAACAAATCCTATTTACATTGTCTAAGCCAGTCAGAGCCCAAACAATGACCAAGTGGGGTTTGGCCTGGGACCTATTGCAGGTCAATTAATGAGAGCCAGAGTGATTTGGGTTTAAGGTATTTTCCTTAAGAAAAAAATCTAGCCCATAAACCCCAAGATATCTTGCAGTGTTTCAGTGATCAAAATTTACATTTCTTTGGGCAGAGCACCATCAGGTAAGGGTCTAGTCTAGAAAAAAAAAATCAAACTGGGAGGGGAGGACCCTCAGGGTTTTTGGCCAAAACATAAAACTGTTTCTATTTACAATCACTTTGAATCTAGCTAGGCGAAAACAGCGACCAAGTAGGGTTTGACTGATGCAATGTGCATTCAGTGATTAAGGCTGGAGGGTTACACAGCCACCAAGTGTGAGACGGAGGCCTTGAACCTATGTCTTACTGGCACCAGTGGCAGCTCTCTAGTGATTAGTCCACACTACCTCTCAACACACAGAATAGTCATTCTCTCTGTCTCTGTCTCTCTCAATATAAGGTAATTTTTGGAGAGAGGACCTTTAGGAAAGGCCTCTTACAGAAGATGGTGCTCAAGTTGAGACTTGTTTGGATAGCTTCAGTGGTCCATTTGAGCTCCAAATCTATTTTACTATGAACTATAAAACAAGGAGGTTGGACTGTATGATTTCTTTCAGCTCTAAATCTGTAATTTCAAATGTCTGTGATCCTTTCTGTGTCAAGAGTGGGGACATAGGCACATCATGTTGCTTTATGGGGAAATATAAAGCTGTCTTGTCTTTTAAGTTTCCCAGTCAACTTGAAGTTTTCCTTTTTCCTTTACTATCTTTTCCCTTAAAGAAAGTAGCCCTCCTATCTTAAACTTTTTAGCATGTAATAGGTTGAAATTTCATATCTATATAAATTACAGCTAAATTAAGTCACAGCAGGAAAGGAATTTTGTTAGCGAAACAGGATTTTAAACATGTTTCATCTCAGTACCCTTTAAGTTTTGCCCCATAGTCAATATAGATGGTGTGCTATAAATATTTCTTGTCTGACTGTGTTGTAGGATGAAAAATGAGAAAGTACTATTTTTAGTGTTTAAAATATTTTGGGGGCTGGGATCCAGAGTGGGAAGGTATTTGGAGGAATGTAATTGTATGAATCTTAAAAGCTAGATTTCGAACACTTGAAAGCCATGAATTGGACAGTAATTAGAAATCTTTGCTGTCAAATATACCAATCTTTTGAATCTAATTTATCCTTCTTCAAATGGTATTATACTGAAGGACTTATAACTTTTGAACTAAATCAAGGTGTACAGATGATTCTATAGCTTTTATGAGCTGTAAAGTTGAAAGCAAAATGAATTAAAAATAGGTAGGCATCCTTGAATTTTCACTCATATTTGGGTTGAAACTTTAGATTTCAGATCAGTTAAAATATATTTATTGATTTTTATTTATCTTTTTCTGACCAGCTGCCATGCAAAGAAAGCCTAAATCTTACTCTTCTTCTTTGATGGATCAGATTCCAATCAAGTTCCTCATACGGCAGGCTCAAGGACTACAGCAGGAATTGGGAGGTACATTCATTGTTTTTATTAGTCTGTTAATCTGTTTCTAAAGAGATGCTAGGTTATATTTGATAGCTTTTATATCTGTATTTTTTAATTTTGTAGAAAAAATATGTAGCAGTGATTTTTTTTTGGGTGTGGTTAGAACATATAGTTTAGAAGTGTTTTTATGTGTTGTGCATTCATCCTTTAGCTGTCCCTATCAGGTAAGATACAAATATTGTCATTCATAATTGACAGATAAAGAAATATGGACAGAGAGAGATGTGAATGGGGCAGCGTAGTATACTGGGAAGGATGCTAGTCTTGGAGTCAGGAAAATATCTAGGCCCCCGATACCTGTTTCGCCACTAGCTAACTGTGACTGTGGGCAAGTCATTTAAATTCCCTAAGCTCTAGTTTAGTTTCCTCAGTCATCAAATGATGGGGTTGGACTAGATCTGTTAGATCACTTCCATCTCTAAAGTGCTATGAATGCTAAAGTGCAATAAATTTGATTTGCCTTGAAATGGCCCATAATAACCTTTCAACTCATGTTGTGTTGGATGATATTATTTATGTGTATTTTTGTCTAAAAGTTGAGTTTTCATTGAAAAAATTTAACAAATTTCTGAACATGGGGTTTTAGAATGGAATAAAAAATTTCTTGTCCAGACAAGAAATGTTTGGGGGCAGCTAGCCCTGGAGTCAGGAAGACCTGAGTTCAAATCTGGCCTCAGACACATAACATTCACTCACTTAGCTGTGTGACTATGGGCAAGTCACTTAACCCCAATTACCTCACCAAAAAAAAAAAAAGAAGATAAGAAATGTTTGAACTAACTTTTGTTAACTATATAGTTTTTGGGAAAAAAAATTTCTTTAGTCAACAGCAGTGGCAAAATTCTTTTAATATTTAATAATGTTTTATTTTTCATATGTAAGAATTGAGAGAGATCAGGTATCTCTTTTACTTAAGGGGAATCTAAAACCCTGTAAATTTTCCTAGCATACGTTGAAATATTTTAGTTTTCATTTTATATTACATCACCATTACATGTTTAGGTTAAAAATTCACAAGATTTCTGCTGTGTATACTTAAGCATTATTTTAAAGGACTTAAAAATTAATGTCTAGTAAATTTTGATTATGGTGTTTATCATTAGGATGGTTATTATTATTGTTAATATTCATTAACACTGTAACAATGACTATTAGAAACTGAAGTTTTAATTTTTTGAGAACAAAGGATCTCGATGCTTTATATTTACTTTTTCTTATTGGGAAGATCATAATGTAGCATGATATGGTAGAAAGTTTCCTGGTTTTGGAGTAGAGGACTGGAGTCCAAATCTTGACTCTTGTTTCTTATTACCTGTGTGACCTTGGGTCATTTATCTTCTCTGGGCCTTTTTCTTCTTTGTAAACTGAGGGGTTAAATTAGATGGTTTGTCACTAAGGTTCTTTTCATCTCTAAATCATCCACTAAGTGTGTGATGCTAAGCAGTCCCTTGTGATTCTCCTTCAGAGGGACTTCGTTGGCTGGCCCACTGGGGCAAAGTTTAATTGAAACCATTATTATGAAAGTGCCAGTGTGTAATCATCCATTGTGGTTGGATATTAAACTGCTAAACATTCATTTATTAAAATCAGAAACTGAGGAAGGGGGAAAAGTCTGAGTATTTAACAGAAGCATTCTAACTTAACTACAATTTTTTAAGGGTTACACTCTGCTTTGTTGCGTCTTCTTGCAACTAACTACCCACATTTATGTATTGTGGATGATTGGATTTGTGAAGAAGAAATTACAGGGACAGATGCCTTGCTACGGCGAATGCTTTTGACCAACACTGCCAAAAACCACTCTCCTAAACAGCTTCAAGAAGGTGCAGTAAAGTTTACTTATTTTTTGTACAGTCCCTGTTGATCTTCTGCTAACTTAGTGATACTAAACGTTTAAATATAATGGAATGTTTTTCTTTGAAAGATGTTAATATTTTGTCGAACAGTTTTTCAAGTAAGCAATTCTAAGTCCATAGCCTCTGAGGACCTTTTTTGTTTCCCTTTGAATTGCATTCTTTTTTTTTTCCCTTGTGGATTCTTTGTCATATGACTAGGTACTGTATTTCTTGAAAGGTCCTGAAGATTGTTACTGAATGGACTAGAATGACTGTGTTAGAGGAGCTTGGTTTGTGGCAGTGGGCAGGGTGCTGCAACTTTTTGTAAGAGACTGTCTAGTATGTGTCCAAATACTGAAAAAGACAAATTTAGGACAAGGTCTGCAGGATTGAATTGACATAATGCATTGCAATTAATAGATGCTTAATGTGTGTTAAGTTAATGAATTATTGGACCAGACAGTTTTCTGAATACAAACCTCTGTCAGGATGCAGGTGGTAGTTCTTAATGCTTGAGTTAATTCTTGCAATACAAGTGGAATTAGAGATAGCGATATTAGTTTTTGAACTACTTGTTCTTGCTCATATTAAGGTATTTCTTTAAAAAAAAATCAGCATTACCTGGCATCCTTCAACAAAGATAAATATTCTGTTTGGAATAAAGCTGAAATAATATAGAAAAACCTCTGAACTACAATTTATTTTTTAAAAATTATGCATATTAGTGCTAGTCCTGGAATCAAGAAGACCTGAGTTCAAATTTGGCCTCATTCACTTAATAGCTGTGTGACCCTGGGCAAATCACTTAACTTCTGTTTTCCTTAGTTTCCTCATCTTTAAAATAGGGACCATAATAACATCTACCTTCCTGGTTGTTGCAAGGATCAAATAAGATGGTAATTGTAAAGCACTTAACACAGTTCCTGGCACATAGTAAATGCTGTATAAATGTTAGTTATAATTATTACATTGACTGTAACAATTTACACTAGTGTCTTTATTTTTGTATTCTCTTCTGATTTCTTTTTTCTTCTTGGTACATATTTGAGTTTTGTGGTGTAGAGAACAGAGAGCCAGTCTCCAAAGCCAGCTAGAGCAGGGTTCTGGTTCCACTTCTGATCCCACTTCTGATACTTTTGGCTGTGTGACCCTAAGCAAGTCATTTAACTTCTCAATACTCTAAGCAACTCTCAGTGTAAATTGCAGAGAAGGTACTGATCTACATTAGTAAAGGGTTGTACCCATACTTGTTTTATATTATTGTATATTTTTGGTCCACATATTATATGATTCATTCTTCACTTTGCATCTCTTTATGTCAATCTTTGATCTTTCTTTTTATTCACAGTTGTCTTAATGTAAAATATTTTTTATGTTGACTTGCCGCAGTTTATTCAGTGATTCCTGTAGCACTGGACATATGCATTACTTAGTTTTGTGCTATTGCAAATAAAGCCAATTAAAGCTTTTATACAAATAGATCTTCTTTACCTTTTAAATATATCCGTAGGGAATAGTCATTGTGGTAGGATAACTGGATTAAAGGGTACATTCAGTTTTGAAATTCATTGTGTACTAGCAGATTGTTTTCAGAAAGATTGAACCAGTTCACAGCTCTAACATGTGTAATTGTATCTGTTTCCACACAGCCTTAATATTACATTTTGTTGTTTTAACTATCTTTGTTGTATTAATAGATATAATGAAAAAATTTATTATGTGCCTACTTTGGAGTTCTTTTTAATTTGAATTTCTCTGATCATTACAGCTTGAATAGTTTTTCAGATGTTATTAACAATTTGTGTTTATTTGAAAACTGCTCATTCCTATCCTTTGACCACTTATTTATTGGGCAATGTGGATATTCCTTAAGCTCCTAATTTGTAAGGTTAGCCAAAACCGTAAAATGACTATGACAGAGTGTAATGTGTTTCTGTTTTACTTTTTAGCCACATCTTTTTCGTGAGTTATTGGAAACATTGAACCAGGGTGATTGCACAAGGCTTAACATTCTAAGAGCATAATGTTCCTGCCAGCAGCTTTGGAAGGTTTTAGCTTGTCTGAATTCTGACTTTTCTTTTTAGCATTTTCAGTGCTCCAAGTAAGTCACACACAAGTGATGCAGATTCTGGAACATTTGACTCTGGTCTCTGCTAGTGAACTTATACCATATGCAGAAGTTTTAACATCAAATATGAACCAGCTGTTGAATTTGGGAGTTCCACGAAGAATTCTTCAAACAGTCAATAAACTCTGGATGGTTCTTAATACTGTGATGCCCAGAAGGTAATTTCTTTTTATTGTTTCATTGGCATAAACCACTTAAATTGCCAGTAGGGACAATGTGTTTTATGCTGATCTTTGAAAGGTCTTTTCATCAGTCATATCAATAATTAATGGAACATATATCTTATAAAGAGATAGCACGCTTCATTTTAAAAGCGTTAATAAACTTTAAAGATAGGCAAGAATGACATGAGTTTTATCACAGGAGAAGCAGAAACAGTGTTTCTTACTTCCTTTTTTTGGTGAAGTGAGTAAAAAGTGAATTGCTAGTTTTTTACAGCTAATTTCAGTGATTTGAATTTTTTGCTTGCTGTTTGACATACTAGAGTCTAATCATAGAGTGAACACCTTTTGCTGTAGCAAATAGATTTTGAGATGTTTAAAAATGCAAGTTTTGATTCTATGTTGGCTTCATTTCTCTACCTTTTATTTTGATGAAATAATAGTAATTTACATTTATATAGTATCTATCTATTTAAAGTGTATCCACATCTGTCTCATTTTACCCTCTCACATCCTTTCTGACATAGGTAGGACTGTTTAATATATTGAATGGATAGGTGTTTCAGATAGGTTGAAATAATTTTTGAATGTTTGATTTATTTTCTCATTAGGCTATGGGTCATGACAGTTAATGCACTGCAGCCATCAGTGAAGTTGGTTAGACAGCAGAAGTACACACAGAATGACCTGATGATTGATCCTCTCATTGTCCTAAGGTGTGATCAGAGGGTTCATAGGTAAATGTCACATGGTGTTCCATAATCCTATGCTTTGGAGGTTCCCAAGAGAATACAACATTTAATTAAGTTCCATATCATCACCTAGTGTTGGCAGAGAAGCTAACTTGCAGCTTGACCAGTTTTTTTTTTCAGGTGTTATTGTTAATGAATTTTGTAATCCATTGCTAAATATTTAGTATATGATTTACTAAACCCTAGGGAAATGTAATATTAGGGAGATCAGATACTCCCAAGCAAAAAAAGAAAAAAGTTCTGTGGACAAGCACAAGCATATTATTCAATGAGGTAAATAAGAACAAGAGGAAAAGAAAATACGAATAAACTAGAGAACAAAACTTTAAAAGTGATTATAAATTATTGTACATATAAGTTTCTTTCTTTGGATCAAGACTAGGGGAAAAGGAGGACTAGTTCTGCTGGGCTTTCTGGCAATAAGAGAGGAGATAGTTGCGTTGTTAAAACCAGCATATTGTACAATTGGGTCCATTTCTAGTATAGTGTGACTCACAAGATACTTTAAATGAATTAGTAAACTTTAAAACAATTCTTCCTGTCATCCTCAGGAAATTAGTTTCATTATTTCCACATTTACCTGTAAAGATCATGCAGAATTATTAATTTTAACTATGAAATGTATTGCATTCATTCAAAAATACTTCTTTATTATATTCCTTCTGTGTGTAGAGCACTTTAGGGGGACATAAAGAAGCATGACAAAGCCTGCCTTTGAGGTCTCATTGAGGATACAAAACAAATATAGGAAAAATTAAATAGCAATGCAAATCAGGATATGATTAAAGTGAAAAGTTGAATGTAGCGACAATAAGTGAAATCAGCAGGCATTCAGAAGAGGTAGACTCAATGTGTGTTGCTGCAGTCAGAGAAAGTTTCCAGGAAGAGGCGAAGTTAAATTGGATCTTGATGGGGCAGCCAGGTGGCTCAGTGGATAGTCCTGGAGTCAGGAGGACCTGAGTTCAAATGCAGGCTCAGACACATAACACTTACTAGCTGTGTGACCCCTGGCAAGCCACTTAACCCCCTTGCCTACCAAAAAAAAAAATTGGATTTTGAACTATGGGTAGCCGTTAGAAAGGGAATCACTTTTCAAGTAGAGGAGACAGTGAGCAAAGAGTAAAAAGAAATAATAATAATTAAAGAGGCTGATTGGTAGTAATATTGAATAGGACATCAAGACCAGATTGATAGAGGGCTTACTTTAAGGAATACTGAGTTTGAAAAAAGTAAGTTGGGTCCTTATTGTAGAAGTCTTTTGAGAAGTAGGCTAAAGATTTTTGGACTTGGTATCTTATAGGAAGTAATGTTTTGTTGTTGTTTTTGAAGCAGGAATGACTTGATGATCAAGACATTTTAGTTAGGGTTGTATAGAATGGATTGGAAGGTGTTGAGACTATCAGAGGCAATGAGACTAGTTGGGAAGATGTTTCCTTATTTCAGGTATGAGGTGATAAGGGCCTGGATAGTTTAGGGCAGTAATAATGAAAGTAGAAAGGAAAGGAAAAAGAAAGAAAATGTTAAAAAGAAAGGGTTTGGGAACTAGTTGTGGTGGGACAAGGGAAGAGAAGTCAAGCTATGGCCCCTGACTTAAAGCCTAATTTACTATGATAATGATGATGCCATTGAAAGAATTAGTGAAGTTCAGGATGGGGTGGACACTTTTGAGGGGAAGATGATTAAGTTTGGTTTAAAAGTTTAAAGTGTTGGGAGATCAGTGTGCAAATGTAGCAGGCAGTTAAAGAAAGGATCCTGGATTCCTGGATTGGGTGTGAAGATACTTAAGTTTTGAGCATAGAAGTGTCAGGTGTCCATGAGTTTTTTATGGGAGAAAAAAAAGCAGAAAATTGAATTTTGAACCTTGGGAGATGCCTGTGCTTCGTGGGTAGTAGGTGGAAGAAGAACTAAGAGAAAACAGAAGAAACAAAGGGTTAAAGAGGATGAATTTGGACTGGTTCCATCATTTTTCCTCTTCATTGTATCAGTCAGTTATCACAATTTTTGGGGTAAGGTTTTTTTTTTTCCTTTTTTAAGGAAAGGTATCACAGGCAGTGAGTCTAGATACAGATTTGCAGGTTGTGCCAAGTGGCTTTAAACAGCTGCAGTAAATCATTACTGAAAACTTGTTATGTATCAATCAAAGATTGATTCATTCACAAATAGATTATAGTCTTTATTTGTTAACATCATCTTGAAATACAAAGGAGAATGAGAAAAAATACATTATATTTTCATTTCTCCTAGAGTTAGGAAATCTCAATAGGGAAAGCATTGTTACTGTCAAATGTCAGCTTTCTTTAATTGTTCAACCTGAAATGTGCTGTAGCTAATTTGTACATGTTTTCATGTTTTTCTGTTTCTTGGTGTGTTAGATGTCCCCCTCTGATGGATATTACTCTGCACATGTTGAATGGGTATCTTCTTGCTTCCAAAGCCTACCTTAGTTCTCACTTGAAGGAAACAGCAGAGCAGGATATTAGACCTGCCCCAAATAATACGCTAGGCTTAGTGGGACAGGCTGATGCTCCAGAGGTTACCAGAGAAGAATTAAAAAATGCATTGCTGGCTGCTCAGGTAATATGGTAAAAACCCAATTATAAAACACCTCCCTGTTGAGTGAATTTGGTTCTGATATGGGTCAAATTATATGCCCTTTGTAAAGACTGATGTATGGCACGTTCTTTCTATTATTACAAGCCTTATTGCAAAAGTTTGTATTTGTCCCCAGCACTAGTCATATGGAAAAGTTCTGCTGTATTGATAAAATAATCAGGGATCTTGATAATCTAATTTTATGATCCATCATAATAAGGAATGCTTTAACCCTTCCAGTAAAGTCATACTCTGATAATTTATTGCATTGTGGCAAGTGATCACAGGCTATATGGATGGACCCTAAGCACTGGTAGATCCTACCAAACTGGTAAGGCTTTGAGTATGAGTCTGGCAGTGGTCTCTGTGCCTATTGTCCAAGGACCACTCTAGTTAAATTATGAAAGTATTATTACTCAGAGGTTGGCTACTAGCTAATTAATATTTTGGCCTCATAATTCATGAAGATTGTCTACTAAGATATAGAGAGCTTGTGATATGCATTGGTAGAGCAAGTATCCATTTGGATTAAATTACAGGTCCTTTCAAATGCTGAAGTAACTATGTTTGGACCAGAGACATGAATTTCCCTTCCTTGGTTTATGTTTTTTTTTTTTTTAAATTGACAAAGTAATAGTTCAGTTTTGTTGTTTAATGTATAAACTAAATTAGGGTGAAACAAATATTTACCTGATCCTTCAGTAGGCCATGACTTTTATATCCTTGAAGGAATGTTGTAAAGAGTTATGAGATAATAAAACAAAAAGTGCTTTTAGAACTTCAAAATGAAAATCTTTGCTGGAGCAACAATTCTTAACCTGGGGTGGGGCTGTGAATTTTTTTTTAGTATTTTGGTAACTGCATTTCAATATAATTGGCTTCCTTTGTAATCTTATGCATTGTATTTTATGCATTTAAAAACATTCTGCAGAGACCATCAACTTCAGTAGACAAAATAGGCTAAGAAAACCTGAGTTATGGTTATTAACCTGAAATTTTCCGACTGGAAAAAAGAGGAAATAATTAGAATAAGTCTAAATAGTGCAGATTATATGGTGAGGCCATCCTGGATATAATATTTGTAGTTCCTGAATAGTCAGAAGTTTGCTTTTAACATGTTGGTCAATAACAAATCATGATAGAGGTGTTACAGTAAGTTTTCATCTGTGGAGACAGGGTTGTTGGTAGTGGTAGTGACTAAGAGCAAATTACCTCCCAAGAAATTAATTCTTTGTTACAAGCCTATTATCATGGTAAGATAATGGACTATCCTTCCTATGCCTCCCAATTTAAGGCCTTAAGTAGAGCTATGCATTACAATCCCCTTGGATTCGTTCTGTGAAGTTTGGATTCAGTCAAAGGGCTATACTTGAGGACCTGGAGAGACTTGTGGACTTGAGGCCACAGGTTTCCCCACCCCTGCATCTTGCTTTGCTATTAACACCTTATGAGGAATTAGTTGGCAGTCAGATGAGAGCAAGAATACCTACTTCACCATTGTACCTAAGGTTGGTCCAATTGCTGCTCAGAATCTCTACATCTGACATAAATTGCCAACTCCTCTCCTTGCTTGTTTGTCTTTTTTGAAGTCGGTGTAAATTATAAAGAATTAGATTATATATATAGTCATATAGAATCAAATCATGTAGTACCATATAGAATCAAATTTAGTTTAAAAATAAGATTTCTTACATTCATTGTGTTTCATTTCTTTGTAGGACAGTGCTGCTGTCCAGATTCTTTTAGAAATTTGCCTTCCTACCGAAGAGGAGAAAACTAAGGGTATTATTCAGAGCGCTGTTGCTACTAACAATATGGGAGTAGAAGAAGAAGACAATTTGCTTTGTAACCTTCGAGAAGTTCAGTGCCTTATTTGCTGTTTATTACACCAAATGTACATTGCTGATCCCAACATTGCTAAACTTGTTCATTTTCAGGTTTGTTTTTCAAGAATTATGCTTTGTTTTTATTTTATTTTTTTGGGGTAGCAAAGGATAACTAAAGTGGGTAATGTCACTGGGATTTCATCTGCTGTTATGTTCATTTATAGAACTGGAGAAATTTATTTTATTATATTTTTATATAGAAATTTATTATGTTATTTTAGTAGTAGCATTTTTCACTATGGCATTTCATTAAAAAGTAAAAAATAAGTCTACAAGGAGGACAGTTATCCTGAACTGTCCCTTCTGTGCGTCCCCTCCACCCCATGTAGCATTAAGAAATCTTATCGGCCATTGGGTCTGCAGTTGGGTTGTATGTTGACTATGAGTTCACAGGATCTGAGATTGACAAGTCTCAGCTTTGTTAAGACTTAGCCTTGATTCCCATGTGTATGAAATGAGGATCTTAGTCTGTTCAAATATGATGACTTTGTAGCTAGAAAATACTATTAGTTAATAATATGCATCTAACCAGTGTTTTTTCCTTCATATTGGAATAGGGTTATCCATGTGAACTTTTGCCACTGACAGTGGCAGGTATTCCTTCTATGCACATCTGCCTGGATTTCATTCCTGAGCTAATAGCTCAGCCAGAACTTGAAAAACAGGTAATGAATTCATTGAGGCTTTCTGGTAATTTTTGTTCAGTTTTGAGTCTTGATAACAAATTTACATATTCACCTCAAAAACATTTTTTAGCATTCCCATTTACTATCTAAACTAAGTACTAGCCTCTTACAGGTCTCCTAGCTTCCAACCTTTTCTTTACTCCATATCATACCATATATAACTGTGAGACTAATTTTCTTGATGTATTGCTCTTATTATTTACCAGGCCCCAAACTTTCCCCACTATCTACTGAATTAAATCCAAATTGCTTAGCCTTACAAAGACCTCTGTACTTGTCAGCTATTGTTTCCCATTACCCTTCTCCTTGACCATCAGCTATTAGGCCTTAGGCTATTTGTCATTTCCCAAATAGGGCTTGATCTTTTCTTTCTTAATTAACAATATAATTATAAACTTAGTAATCTTAGCAGATATTAGTAATTTATGTTGAAGAACCCTGAAATTTCTTTATCTTATAGTAATCTTCTAGCAGGCTGTCTCTCCCTATGCCTTACTGCTACTAAACCTATTCCTGCTTACTGTGACCTCCTAATCCTTCCACCTTTTTGTACATTTCTGGGCTGTCACCTCTGTTCTGGCTATACTCTACTTCTTCCCATTTTTAACCCTTTGGAGAAGCAGTTCAAGTCTATAACTGTCTTCTACACTTGAATCCATTGTTTGTTTATCCCATTGCTACTCATGCTTTGCCAAACCCCGACTTGGATTACTCTTACTATTCCCCTTTTCAGTTGCATTCAGCTAATGCTGATGTGAGCTGAAGGGAAGTCAACCTAATCTCACCTGGGCTCTTACTAAAACAAAACAATCCTTCTACTCTTCCTTGACTGGTTTCCTTTCATATTTAACATAGTGTCTTTTCAAATCTCTGCTCTTCTTGTACTTCTCACAGTATTCCTTTCCCCACCCTCAGCTGAGGAAGTCTGTTGTACTTTACTAAGGAAATTGAGGCTATTTGCCTTGATTCTCTTTTCACTTTATCTCCTTATCTCATATTCCCTTGACCTCATCCACCAGTATCTTTTTCTCCAGGTGCTGATGAAGGGTGGACCTTTTCATCAAAGCCAAGCACTTCACATGTACTTTTGATCTATCCCCTCTTATCTTCTCTAGCAGATTGCCTCCACTATCATCCCTCCCATTTTCTAATCTTTAATTTCTCCCCATCTACTATTTCATTCTCTACTATTCACAAACATGCCCATTTCTCCATAATCTTTTAAAAAACTTTAAAAAGTTCTTACCAACTCCCATTAGCTATCATCCCATGTTTCTTTTTCCCTTCTCCTCCAAATACCTTGGAAAGGCTTTCTACATTTGGTGCCTTCACTTCCTGTCTTCATTCTGTTCTTAAAACCCTTTATTGTCTGCCAAATTTAATGGCCTCTTCTCCAACTTTTTCTTTTTTAAACCTCTCTGTAGCATTTGACCCTACTGACCACCCTCTCCTCCTGGACATACTTTCCTCTTTTTGGTTTTCGTGATATTCATTTTCCTCCTTCCTGTCTTAGTACTCCTTCTCAGTCCAGTTGGCTGGATTTTCTCAATGTGGGTATCTTCTGAGGCTGTCCTGGGCTCTTCTGAATTGTGTCACACTCTTCACTTGGTGACCTTATTTGCTTCCAAGGGTTCAGTTCTCATCTCTTTGCACATGACTCCCAGGCATATCTACTGAGCCCTAGTGTCTTTGCTCAATTCCAATCTTGCATCATAAACTGCCTGTTGGATATTTTGAACTGGATGCTGCATAGGCTCCCCCACTCTGCCAAAGCGTTCATGATACATACAAGGTTTAAGCACTCCGTACTATAGATCCTGTGTTTGTTTTCCGAATGTCTTATTTGTTTACATCGATCGCACTTGAACACAAATCAGACAAAACACATCTGCCTTAGAACTCTCTCCTTTGCTAGATTATAATAAAATCCTTTTGGACAGAGATGATCTTCATTTTTTTTAACAGTGCATATTTGTTGACTGAATACCTTTGAGACATTTTAACCTTTCACTTTTGCTTTTCAGGTATTTGCTATCCAGTTGCTTTCTTACTTATGTATCCAATATGCATTACCAAAATCATTGAGTGTAGCTCGGTTAGCTATCAATGTCATGGGAACAATGCTGACAGGTATGTTACTGGACTACCAAGAGGCAGTTTGATTTGTACATTTCAATAATTTTAGTAAGATGACTTGAGTTGTTGTAATTGTTACAAATTCATCATTTTACATATTTTTAAATGATAGATACATGATCCTAAAATAATAAAAACACATATAGTATGTTTATAAAACATTTTGTTCACAATAACCCTTTGAGGTAAATAATATCCTATTTAACAGGTGAAGAAACTAAAGACTCAGTGAAGTGCAATGATTTTATTCAGGGTCAAATAGATATTGTCAGAGCCAGGAATTTGTACCAGAATCTTGATTTTAGTGCTTTTTCTACCACACCATCCTAAATATGATTTATGGTTAGTTTAAAGTTGCTGAGCTGATAAGCCATCACACTATACCTTGTAATTTGTGAATTAATTTCTATTATTGATAATGACTGCTTATACATAAAATAAGTTTTTTTAAGTCATTGTATAATTATCTTGTCTATGATATGATGGATTTACAGTGACTTAAAAAAAACTTGTCATATTTTTAAGTGAAGATAATGGCTAACTTACCTTCCATCTGTAGCTCTTACAATATATGAATATCAGTAGAAACTGAGAACTTAAAAATAATAGCTAATGTCATCTCTAATTCATGCCACTTTCTGTAGAGAAATTCCAATAAAATGTCACATGCAAAATTAAAGGTTAAAAGTATATTAAATGCATCCATAGATTTCATGGAATGTTGTACTGTACCATTACTTTTAATTTGTTAATTAAAATGATAAAACACATTTTTGTTTTTTATATCACCTTCACTTCTGAATATATTCCTCCTTCTTTTCTCTGCCTAGCAAGCATTTCCTGGTAACAAAGGTGAAAAAAGGGAGAGTAAATAAAACACTTTAACAAAACCAATCAACATAATCTTATCTGAAATTATATGCAGTATTCAGTACTCATGGTCTTCCACCTTTTCAGGGACAGAGTGGTGTATTTTTTCCATTCTTCTTTAAGGCAAACATTTTAAACACATGAATTATGAGGTACTTAAAGCCATGGTTTGGATATTAGTATTCACATTTACATCTCTTCAAATCTGCTTTCTTTCAACAGTTTTAACTCAGACTAAGCGTTATGCTTTTTTCATGCCAACCCTGCCGAGTTTGGTGTCTTTTTGTCAAGCATTTCCACCACTGTATGAGGACATTATGTCTTTGTTGATCCAGATAGGACAAGTTTGTGCCTCTGATGTTGCCACGCAGACGAGAGATATAGATCCAATCATTACACGTAAGTAATTATCTAGGTCTCTTAATATTTTCTTAAACACACACATACACACACAGTCTTGAGGTCTTTAAGCAAAGACCAGTTATGTGGTAGAGGGGATTATTTTTTGGCATAGCTTAGAATAGCCACTGAGGTTTTTTTCCAACTCTTGAAGTTCTGTGATTCTTTGAACACAAGACCAGCTTCTTTGTCTTGATTTTAATTTCTTCTCATTTTACTTTTAGGTCTTCAGCAGCTGAAAGAGAAACGAAGTGGATGGTCTGGAATATGCAAAGATCTAGCTTATAAAAATGGAGCCAGGGATATAGGAAGCATGGACCCTGATGTGCAGCTATGCCAGTGTATTGAAAGCACAATAATTGAAATAATAAACATGAGTGTTAGTGGAGTTTAAAAAAGAAATGAGTGAAATTGAAGCTGTGCACAGCATAAACCCACCATGATTCTGCATTTGATAACAACTGTTATATTGAATGAAAACAGTAGTGTCTTGGAATCCCAAAAAGAGACAACATACAACTGAACTCAAACTTGACCTTGCTGACAATTATGCTTTATTATCTTGCCTATTTTTGGATGAAAGTATATGGATCTAGTTTGCTGGTATGTTTGTCTAGTAGCAGTTGTTAATTGAGCTTCTTTCCAGTGATTTCGGCATCATGTTTAGCTTCTGAAGTAAGAAAAGCATATACTATGCTTTTAATTTTCTTTGAAGTCTGTAAGTAGCCTTAATGTTCATTTTGGCTTTCAGCTTGGGACTGAGTGCTGCAGTGATGACAGAGAAAGAAGAATCAAAGGAAGGGAGAATTCAGGGAAAATCAGGGGTTAGATACCCAAATAGAAACCTCAAGGACTTGCAATACAAATAATGCAAGATGAATTCTCATTCTCAAGGATTAGTGTTAAGAAGACTAAGAAAGGCAAAAATGCTTTTCTAAATGATTTTCATGGAATTGCAGATGAGGACTTCAAAAATTCTACATATATGCTTCAATTATTGCTATTATGTGAAGCCATATGTCAGAGGTACTTGAATAATTTGGAATTTTATGATACTGGTTTAAAAGTGTTTACAGAAACACCTTTTTGCAAAGCAGATCCTGAAAGGTCTAAGTTAGTTTTTAAAAAATTTTTATTTTTATAATGTTAATTAACTTATCTAATGTTTAGAGGGGTAAAGTTCAAAGATACCTAATTAAACAAAAATTACAGCAATAAAACCCACTGAGTTAGAGATCTCTTGGTTTGTCATTGAGAATTCTGCATTTCAGGAAGTCTTTGGCAAAAAAACTTGTGTGTTTGTGCACATGCGCACATGTGTGCACATATGTGTGCATGTACTCATAATTGTGATCCTCAGGAAAATTGGGTGGTGAGGAATGTCATCGTAGTAAGTCATATTATAGTCCTATGTGGGTAATTTTCCTTTAAGTTAGATATTATTATGTGAAGTCAGGGCCCTTCATCTTCATTTTGTATGCTGAAGAAGTCAGTGTCCAAACTAGATATATTTTCCTGTGGTTTCTTTGGTGCACATAGATGATAAATTCTTGCACTCTGAACTGTGCTTGTACATGAAAGTAAATAGAGTGAAAAGAAAATATCACATTGCAGTAAAGGAATTTAAGTTTCCTCTTGGTGTATAGTTGTATTCCATTTCTTTCCTTTGTAAAATGGGATTATATTGTCCTTACCTCTTTAGGAGAGTCAAATAAGAATTTTTTTTAGATCCATTAAGTGTACAATATCACATTTCATAATATATTTATAACTTTTCTTATATGTAACTTTTCGTTAACAATCCTAGGGTAAAATGAAACTTAATAGCATTGCAGGAATTTTCATATTTTTAATTAAACCAGTTTTATATTCCCATAAAGAAACAACTGTTGCTGCTTTCTTTTAAAAACTTCAACCTTGGAATAGTTTAGGTGCATAGGCTGTCTTTTTCCTTGGAGTTCAGAAAAGGTTGAAGTATATTTTCTAACCAAATGAACAATACACATTCCAGTCTATTTTTTTTCAGAGACTACTAGTCAGAACTTGCTGTTACTAATTTGTTGATCTGTAAATAAAAGGTGTAAATACATTAGAAAATTTTATTATTCATGTATTTTATGTTAAAGTAAAATTTGTCACGATGCAATATAATATTTTTGATTTAAGGAAAATGTGTGCAACTTTTGAATATTTGTTTATAAACATTCATACTCTTGGTATCAAATGGACTTGAATTTTTCTTTTGTGCATTACTTCAAATTACTTTTGAACCAAGAACTGCACTTTCTAGTATATCTGCTAACTTTTATTTATGTCAGCTAGTCAGTCAGTAAGAATTTATTAAGTACCTCCTATGTGCTAGGCACTGTGAAGTGCTGGAAATACAGAAAGAGGCAAAAGACAGCCCCTACCCTCAAGGAGCTCACAAGCAAATGGGGAAGATAACAAATAAAACAATATCTACAAACACGCTATGTACAGGATAAATAGGAAATAATTGAAAGAGGGAAAGCACTAGAATTCAATATTTATTTTGAGTACTTGAGGTACACGATGTATATAACCCAAACCCAATTTTAACGAGACCTATACAGGGGAAAAGTAATGCAGCTACGAATTAGGAGAAACAACTAATTTCAGAGAGCGACGTTAGATTGTTTTAAGAACTATTTTCGTGCTGAATGTAGTAAAAAAACAAACTGAATTTCTGAGATAGAAAAGTGTACCCTGTTGCTCTTGAAATTACTAGGACTTTAAAAATGCTAACGGAATCAGTTGTAGGTCAGTAAACTGAGGCTCAAAAGGAAAGCAGCTTGGTGGGTTTGGGTCTCTGGCTCCGCTTATCACTTGCTTTTAAAGGATACGGGCAGGGGAGCGTCTGGAGTTCTTCCAATACCCGGGGCCTCCACTTCTGAGCCTTTTCTCAGAAAGACGAGTCTTAACCACGCTCGGATGACGCACTGTCGCAAACAGGGTTGAGCATCCTCTGACCTTCTTGGTTACCGCCAGCCACCGTAGAGCTGGCAGAGTCGCCCAGGCTGACCTAGCCAAACTACCTTTGCTCAAGCGCCTTCAGGTGAGTCACCTGGTTTCCAAAGACATGGAAGCCACCCGCATGTATTGATTTCTTTGAAAAAAATCGAAGACATTTTCCTCTTTGCCCCACCAAGATTGGCTGCCGAGGGTCAGTCAGCCTTCTATTCATTCGTTGCGTTTGGTTTGCGGGCAGCACGGTTCATCTTCTCGCAGTGATTGGCTGTATGAGGCCAGCCCCCCAATCTCCGCGATTCCATTGGTTGACCAACTTCGGATACCCACCCGACGATTGGCTATTGCCAATTCTCGCCTCGGATTGGCTGCGGGAAGCGCTGGGGGCGGGAGGCGGGAAGTATCCAGGAAGATTCGCTTTCGAGGGTGTCAGGGCGAGCTGCGGAGCGGCAACCGCGGAGTGCTGGCGGAGCGGAGGTAACGGGGCGGGTTTGGGGCAGACCGGGCGCCCGAGTCAGCCTTCCCGCAGGGCACAGAGGGGCTCCCCTCTTAGAGGCCGCCTTCCCTTTCTCTCCTCATTCTCTCCCGCGACGTGCGCCGATCAGACGCGGCGAACCCTCGCTCGGTGTCACCAAGCCGGGGTCTCATCTGCCTCGAATTTCCTCTGAGCCCCCAGAGGACGGAGCCGCGCGCATCTCCGCGCACATCCCCATGGGCCTCCGCAGCTCCACGCGTGACGCGGCGGGGATTTGAACCCTGGTGTAGGGAGAGCTGCGCGAGCGCGCTCCCGAGCCCTAGCCCCGGGAGAAGGAGGCCAGGCCGCAGAGGGGAAGAACCAGAGCGTGAAAAAAAGTGGGGGGGGAGTGGAGAAAGTGAAAAGAGTGAGGGAGGGGGTGGGAAATGGAAGGAGAGGTTCTGGAGGTGGAGGGAAGGGCGGCTGGCTTGGCCCTGGGACCTCCCTCTTAATCTGTTTTATTCAATTCAACCCACTTTTCTGAAGCCCTTTTATGCGGGCTTAGCCTTAGGGCGAGGTCACTTTGGAGGCAGGAAAACCTGATACTGTCACCAGTGTGGACAAGGCTCCTGATACCCAGAACATGAGTTTACACCAGTTAGCTGCTGATACAAATCAGTGGAGGACGTTCCCATCCCTGGGCATGAAATAACAAAGGTGGGCCCACCTCCCTGTAAAAAAAAATCGCCAGTCAACAAGCATTTCATTAAAACACCTTCTTGTTTGGAAGGGCTGGTACTATGCTAGGACCTGGACTAGAGAGAGAAGTGAGAGAGTTTTGTCTTTAAGGAACTTGTAGTCTACTGGGAGGATACTACATGTTCACAGATAAGTAAATACAAAAATAAATACATTGTGGGGAAGACAGTATGCCGCTAACAGCTGTGGCAATCAGGAAAAAAAAAAACAAAACAACCTCTTGAAGGATTAGGACTTGATCTAAGTCTAGAAGAGAGCTAGGGATTCCAAGAAATGCAGTTGAAGAAGGAAATCATTCCAGGCATAGGGTAAAGGCGGGATGCCACATGGAATGGCTTTTATGGAGGAACAGCAAGTAGACCAGTGTGGATGATATCTACAATGGTTGGGGGAGAACAGTTTGAAACAAGGCTGGAAAACATAGGCCAGAGGCGGATTGTGAAGGGCTCCAAATGTCAGCATTTTATCCTAGATGCATTGGAGAGATGCTAAAACTTTTCAAGCAGGGAATGAGGTGACCAAACCTGCACTTTAGAGATACTGATTTGGCAGCGTTATAGATGATGGATTAGTTTGGGGAGAGAATGAAGGCAGGGAGACCCATCAGGGAATTATAGCAGTATGGACAGGAGGTGATGAACTCCTGATTAGGATAGCTGTGGTGTGCTTAGAAGAGGGTGGAATTAATGGACACTGAAAATCTGGAGAGGAAGGCCACCAGAGTGATGAAGGGCCTTGAGTCCCTGTCATAGGAGTATTGATTGAGGAAATATTTACCCTGGAGAAGAGAATACTTGAGGGAACATAATAGCCATCTCAGGACTCTCATGTGGAAGAGATGAGATTGTTCTTTTGGCTCCAGATTGAAGAACCAGAAACAAGGGGTAGAAGTTCCAAAAAGCAAATCAAGGCTTCATGTCAGGAAAAACTGGCTAACAATTAGAGCTGTCCAGAAGTGGAATGAATGGGCTGCATTAGGAGGTGATGGTTTCCCCCGTTGTTGGAAATCTTCAAGCAAAGGTTAGATGACCATTTCAAGGATCTCAGATTTCTGACTGCTTTTTCCATTGATGTAGATCAGTAAGTCTGTCAGTAAAACATTTCTTAAGCCCCTGCTGTTTTCCAGACTCTGTGCTAAGCATTGGAGATACAAAGGAAGGTTTAAAAAAAAAAAAAAAAGACAGCCCCTATCCTCAAGGAGCTTACCGACTAATTGGGGAGACAACAAGCAAGTAAACATGTACCAGCAAGATCTATATAGGATAGAAAGGAAGTAATCCACAGAAGGAAGACACTAGAATGAAGAGCGATTGGGAAAGACTGCACGTAGAAGGTGGGATTTTAGCTGGAACTTGAAGAAAGCTCGAAGAACTTGAAGACAGTAGGTTGAGTTAAGGAAGACAGCAAGGAGGTCAGCATCACTGAATTTAAGAGTACCTGTTGGGGGAGTCATATAAATTCTGGAAAGGCGAGGAAGAGGCAAGTTATAAAGGGCTTTAAACACCAAAAAGAAGATTTTAAGTTTGATCCTATAGGTGATAGGGAACCACAAGAGTTTATTATAGACTAGGGTAGCAGGGCTTCCATGGTCAGACCTGTGCTTTAGGGCTCGCTTTGACAACTGAGTGGAGGATAGACTGATGTGGAGAGAGATTTGTGGCAGTTAGACCAACCAGCAGGTTTTTGCAATAGCCCAGGCACGTGGTGATGAAGTCTTGCACCAGGGCAATGAGTAGTATCAGAGGAGAAAAGGAGGCATATATTAAAGAGGTAAAATTGACAGGTGTTGGCAGCAGAGTAAAAATGGGTTGGGGGGAGCGGTGAGACAGAGAATAATTGAAGATCAGCTTGTATTTATTAATCAGTAAACATTTATTAAGCACCTGCCATATCCCAGGCTCTGTATTAGACTTGGGGATACAAATCTAAAATGAAATAGTTCCTCAAAGAACTTACATTCTGTTGGGGGAAACAACATATACTGGGAGGCAAGGATATTACTGTAATAATATGGAAAAGTAAAAGAATTCTGTATATTAATTAAAAAGAACAAAGATTTTCATTGGATTTATTGATCCTTTTTTTTAAACTAAATATTTAAACACTCTAAAGCTAATTATTTTGTATTTCATTGTTGTCTAAAATCTAGCATCATTGAAATAATATAAGTAGCGCCTTAAGAAATATTTTCCAGGATTCGGTCTTTCAATAGTAGAGAATCTGCCTAATTTGTAGGATAGATTCCCCTGGAGCAACCCCAGTCTCAAGGTACTCAATCCATCCTCACCCCTTAAACTATATAAGTCATGAATACCTACTACTATGTTTACCTTTTTGTATTTAACCAGGTGACACAATTAATTAAAAGCAAATGTACTTGCAGAAATGTCGTAGTGTTACAACAAAAGACCTGCCACTGGTCCACATTTTCCCATAAATGCTCCTAGCATCAGTAGGGAGAGTAGACATATAGAGATCGTGAGGAGAAGTGCACACACATAGGGAAAATGTGCAGCTAAATTGACGCAGTGGGGTATACTCATACGCGACTGGTAGCCAGAGCTGTGTGAGGAGGATTAACTCATATGTCTGATATTGGTGTGGTGCAGGGCCTCTGAAAGCTCTGTACTGTTCTTGCTGACTTTGGGCTCTGATGCAATTCTGCTGGATGTTGTCAGATGTTGTAATCTCCACTGCCTCTGCCTTTTGGCTCAGTGATAATCCTTTGTGAGGAATCTTCTCCAAGGAGCAGGATGCTTTAGGACATTTCTCTAGAATTTTTTTTTTTTTTTTGGAATGGACTCTGGTAGTATGGTAATACCTATGGATCCCTTATGATTTTTAAGTGTATAAAATAGAATTCCAAAGGAAACTAATTATGTTGAAATACAGTTATCAAAATATTTAAGAAAACGAATGTTTAGACGTCAGGTTAAGAACCCCTGCTTTAGAGACGATCCAGTGTTTAGAACTCAGAAACCGTTGAACTTGGGTTACTCGTGGAGGAACTCTCATGGCTGGCATTGTCTTGGAAATCTCCTTTCCCTGATAGAAGGCTAGAGTCCAAGAGCATGGTGTGAAGGGAATTCAGAATCCCCTCTCCTTTCCATGGAAGGTTGAGGTTCAGGAAGTAGTATCTTTGAATTCTCCTCTCTGGCTGCATGCAGGCAATATATTGTTTGACCATAGGCATCAGCTACCCATTGCTATTACTGCTTCTAGAAGAGGTGCCAGGAAAAAGGTGAAAAGTAAGTTTTCAAAAACTAAGGATATCTTCAGGAGCTGAGTTTCATACATTTTAGGGCTAGAAGGGAACTTAAAGATACCCTTTTGTGATTTGGCAGAGGTCTTTGAGAATTACTCTACTGAAAAATTCAGCCCTCTGAGGCTGACCTGGCAATTAAGCTCTCTGAATTTTACCACGTCATTCTCTTTTCCACTCTCTACAAAATACTTTGCCAGTTATTACGAAGTGTGTGTGACCTACGTTTTAAGAACCTAGGGTTACTGAATCAGATGAAGGAGCAGGACTTCAGTGGAGGCAGACCAGCAAATTGGAGAGGCAGCATTGTAGAGTATATGAAGAGCTGGGTTTGGTGTCAGAGAACCTGGTTTCAAATATCAGCCCTATCACTTAATATCTGTGTGACCCTGGATAAATCACTTAGCCTTTCTGGGCCTCAGTTCCTCATCTGTCAAATGAGTATTCTGAGATTCATTTTGTGATGCTGTGAAATTCCCATCTTTTCTTTTTGCTTAGGTCAGTGCCTTTTAAAGTCTTGGAGTTTTGTTTTAGTGTTTTAATATTTAAATTTTGTGTTGCAGGAAGGAATCTGAAACAAGCAAAAAAAAAATCACAATGTCTTCAACACTATCTGAATATGTTATTGGTGGAGTGAAGATTCACTTCCCTTGTAAAGCTTACCCATCACAGCTTGCTATGATGAATTCTGTAAGTAGTTTCCAGAAGACCATTTACATTGTTATTAGCGTAAAAGACAATCAGAATACACACTGCACATGAGGATTCTGTTAAAATATTCTACTTCAGTTCTACATAGAAAATAATCAGATCAAGAATGGTCCCTAAATTATTAGGAAGAATATGGAAAAAAAAAAGTCAGTCAAACAGTAAATATTTCTTAAGTGCCTCCTGTGTGCCAGGCACTGTGCTAAGCATTAATCATTGAGGAAAACAATTTTGATCACCCATAAGCTATAACTGTGATGGTACCAGATCTAGGACCTTAAAAGTGCTTTTTGTAAAAAATGGTTTTTGAATAAGGGCTTCTGTTTGTTTTATGGAATATGTTGCTTTCAACAATCTACCCTGCCATTTATTACGAAGAGTATAATTTTCTACTATCAGTTTTTATTGGAAGCACATCCATGTATATACTGTGGGGCTAAATGGTTTTTTGAAAATGCATGTCCTTGCAAAACAAATATTGCTTTTATTCTTCCTCTTCCAATACATAGTATAAGCATAGATCCTTCAGAACCTTTGGCAAGGTAAAAGGTGATCGAACTTCTTCCTACTGCACACGTGACTTTCCCACCTGGTTCTTCACTTCTTACTGGCTGTTCAGTTCCCATTTTTGTTTAAGGCAGATTCCGGTGAGCTAACGTAAGTTGATTATGTCATTTTTTTGTATCCGTAGATTGTTAGAGGATTAAACAGTAAGCAACACTGTTTGTTGGAGAGCCCCACAGGAAGTGGGAAAAGCTTAGCCTTACTTTGCTCTGCCTTGGCATGGCAGCAGTCTCTCAGTGGTGAGTAGCTTACAGATATCTTCCAGTCTCCTTATCAGCTTCTGAATGACAATATGGAGGCAGAATGCTGGAGTGGAAACAGCTGTGGTGCTTGGATTCAGAAGACCTGCCTACAAGTTGTGCTTCTAACATTTACTTGTGACTTTGGGCAAGTTCCTCAACCTTAGGTTCTTGACATGTACGGTATAAAACAGAAGGTTATGGAAGAGAGTTGTCATTATTAATATCATTATTATTATTCGTGATGATGATAATGAGGATCCTCTCCAGAAGCCCTACACTTAGAATTCTGTGTGACATGGAGGTGACCCTGGTTTCTCAAACATTAGCGTTAAATTTGGAGCTAGTGCTACCATGCTGAAAGACTTCGGATACCAACATAGCAGTAGTCTCTTTTTCACTAGAAGGCCAGCTCAGTTAACCTCAGAAGCTCATCACTGGAGGATTGGCCACCAGGTAATGAATTTTTTTGGCCAGAGTAACTCAAAGGACTGTGTAGTAGGGTGTGGAGGAGTTGTAGTCTTTATTGGCAGAAGGAGACACCCATATGGATGAAATTGTAGATCCTTGGAAGTATTGAAGGAATAAGAATAAAGAACTACTTTTTATCTAGAGTGATCTGGGAATCAGGTGATCTGATTAACTTTTGTTTACAAAAAGTTATAGCATTTGAGATGTACATGATGTGCATTATGTACTGTTTGTAGATTATCATTGTACAGATAGAAAACTATTACTGAAATCATCTTTTTCATTACTTAGAGGGTATAGTGTCTTTCAGTGTTTCCAAGTTACCATTACGAAGATGAATTATCACTGAATGCTAATATAGATGGAGAAGGTATAGGAGATTGAATCAGTACTGACCCTAAGATATATGTCACACCCTGGAAATGTTTTTTTGGAAATAAGTCCCCAAACCGCTTATTTATAATCTTCCTCTTTCTCATAAAAGTAAGGTGTGTATATGATCCCAAATCTTCTCCACTCCAATAAATAAATAATTCTAGTTGAGCTTCCTGATTGTAGTATTCCAAAGTGGGAAAAAAATTTAGTAATACTTATTGTCTATGGGTAACTTCAGAAAACTGGTTTCAAGAATGGATTAATGTCTCTTCTCATATCAAAGTTAGAAGATTTTGGCTCAAGTCCTAGCTCTGTCACATTCACTGATAACTTTGGGCAAGTGACTCTCTGGGCTGAAGTTTTCTCATTTAACTAAATTTAGAAAACATTTATTAAATTCTTAGTATGTGCAATATACAGTGGTAGCCACTGGGTATACAGAGATGAAGCAATTCATTTTTTCTACTTTTATAATCTTAAAATCACATAGAGGAGATAATCTGTAAGTGGTGTCTTTTGGCATAAAAATATCAATGGCTTTATTGAATTTAAATAGTGATTAAAATATGTTTTGGTTTACCTGAGATCTTTTTTTTTAAGATTCAAATGACTGCTGATTATAATATATAATGTATTAATGAAAATTCCAATGTGTGGTTCAGAATACCACATCTGAAATGCTAGCATGTTAAAACTTTTATGCAGAAGGAAGAGTGTAATGTGTAGGGACGATTTTACTTTCCTGTGGCTTACATTATTATTTAATCTTTATCAAGCGTTCATAGATGAGTTAGCTGCTGCTATCAAAATCACATTCTTATTTGGTGGTAGAAATACCAGTTAAGAAAGTACTTTTTTAAATATTTGCTCAAATCTCTGTTCTTGCTTCCATTTTCATGTAAGTGGTAAATCTGATTGTATATTTTAACTGATCATGTGCCAACTCTTGACTTATTGGATTACATTGGATTTAGTAAATAGAACAGACCTTTTTTGCAGAAATTTTTATTTATTTGTGAATTCTTTTCTTTTCTCCATTGATGTGTAGAATCATTGGCAGGTATCGTGTGTGTTTTTTTAAAATCCAAATATTATTTTTATTTTTAGAAAAGCCAGGAGAGGAGAACTTGAATAAAAAGACTGAAGTGCCCTTACCATGTTGTTGTACATGCCATTTGCACAATTCCACTAATGATTTCAGTATTAATGTGAACCAGGGAGCTTCATGTTCTTTCACCAGTCCAATTGTGACATCTTCCATGAAAAATGAAGTCTCAACTTGCCAAGGTAACCTTTTGTCTAGGACCATTAGTATCTGTTTTGGGGGCTTCATTTAGCTAATATGGCTTTTTAAAAGTCCAAATAACTTCTAGAGTGGCAGGGAAGGGAAAGAAAGAATTCTTCACAATGGGATCATGGAAGGCAATTGTGGGTTCATATGCTGCCATGATAAGTTTTGGTCTGCCACCATTTTCCATGAGTAGCTCATTCTTCAACAGTCTTTCTCTCCTTCCCAATTCCTGCTCTCATAGCAGGGGACCTCAATATATATACTGAGACTGCCTCAAACAACCTAATTTCCCAGTACCTCAACTTATTCATTTCCCATGACCTACTCCATCTCATCTACACACAGATGGTCATCCCTTGATCTTGCCATCTTCCATAAGTTTTCTACTTCCCATGTTTATGAACTCTCAGATTCCTTTATCTGATCATAATTTTTTTGTTATTCCATTTTCTCCTCTTTCTTATAACTTCTAATACTATTCTTCATCTTTACCATGACCTCCAGTCCCTGTCCCCCTCAGTTCTTTTTCAGATCATTACTTCTATACTGTTTAAACTTTCTTCCCTTTCCTCATCTTGACCCCTTGGTGAACCAGTTCAACTCTGTGCCGTCTTCTTCTCTCAAGCCCCTTTCCCACCTTATCCAGTCACCAGTCTTCCCCGTTAGTCCCCAGCCTTGTTTTACTCTTACCATCTGCTGCCTCCACTCCTATTCGTGTGATACTGAACAAAGCCAAGAGGTCTCTCTTTTCCCCTGCCTCCACTATCTTCTGCTTTACCCTCGTTTCACATGAAGAGATGACTCTTCTTCTTACCAAGGCTAGCCAATCTACATGTACCTCATCATTTGATTAAAACTATTCTCTCCAGAGTTACCAATGATCTCTTAATTGCCAAATCTAATGACCTTTTCTCAGTCCCCATCATTCTTGACTTCTTTATAGCCTTTGATACTCTTGATCACTCTCTGCTCTAGGATACCGTGTTTTCTCTTAGCTTTGCTAACATTGATCTCTCTTGGTTCTCCTGCCTTAGTCTGCTTTGCTGGATCTTAATATAGGTTGCTCCTGCTAACTATGAGTGTCTCTCAGGGCTGTCTTCCGGAGCCTTTTTCTCTTCTCCTTTTTTTTTTGTTTTGTTTTGTTTTGTTTTGGGTTTTTGTTGTTGTTGAGTTTTTTGTTTGTTTGTTTGTTTTGGATAGGCAGTGGGGTTAAGTGACTTGCCCAGGACCACACAACTAGTAAGTATTATGTGTCTGAGGCCAGATTTGAACTCAGGTCCTCCTGATTCCAGGCCGGGTACTCTATCCACTGCGCCACCTAGCTGCCCCCCTTCTTCTTTAATACTGTTTCTCTGGATGATCACATCAGCTCCCATGAATTCAGTTATCATCTCTATTCAGATGATTCTTAGATCTATTTATCCCCAGCCCTAACCACTCTCCCGACTTCCAGTATTGCATCTCTAACTTCCTATTAGATATCTTGAAGTGGATGTTCTATAGATATCTTCAACTCAACATATCCAAAATTGAACTTATTATATTTTCCTCCAAACCTTTCCCTTTTCCTAATTTCCCTATTACTGTCAAGGACACAGCTATTCTCCTGGTTACCCATGCTCAAAACCCAAGTGTCATCCTCCACATTTCACTTTCTCTTACTCCTTGGCTTTGAGGATACTTTATTATGTCATCTTTTTCTCATCTCCAACATTATTCCTTTTCTATCAGCATCAGTGTCTCCTTTTCTTACTTCCTAAATATTCTCAGTTTTTTTCCTCTTCTCTCCCAAGATTATGGCCTTGACACTCTCATTTATTCCCAAATCTTTAACCCAGCAGGGTTCTTAACCTGAGGGCCCATGAATTTTTGAAAAAGAAAGTTTAATAACTGCATTTTAATATAATTAATAAAATTGTAACACGAAGGAAAAAATATTTTACTTTAAACATTTAAAACATAAGCCTGAGAAGGGGTAGATAAACTTCCCTAGACTGCCCAAGGAATTCATGACACATAGAAGTTTAAGAGACCTTGAAATAACCTCTGTTTCTAGCACCTAACCCTCAGGCTTCATGCTTATATTTCAGACTATTTGCTGGACTAGGTTGAAAGACTGTTATCAACTCATGTCCAAAACTGAACTAATCATATTCCTCTCATGGCTCCCATACTTGTTTGTCTTCCTGACTTCTTTCTTTCTTTTAATGACATCATCAGTCTTATTACTTAGGTTTGAAACCTTGGTATCATCTTTGTTTCTTCCTTGGCATATTTTATCAGTCTTCAAATTTAGTCATTTTTAATTCCATGATATTATTACCACCTCTTATTCTCTGTTGCTGCTATTATTACCCTTGTTTAGGCACTCATAGCTCACTGAGAATTTTGCAGTTGTCTTTTATCTAATCTTGGCTTCCATTCTCTACCCCTCTAATCCATCCTGTATCCTGCTACTAAATTTGTCTTAAATCACTGCTCTGATCATGTTACTGATCACTACTGACAATCTAATCCAGTCTTCTAGTTCAACCACAAATCTTTTCTAGGCACCCATTATATGTTATCCCTAAGGGGCTTCCACCATGATAGTTGGGAACGCCTTCTTTTCACAGAGGAAACTGAGACCCAGATGGTTGTGACAGAATGTCCAATGTGCCTGGCTCAGTCTGTTGAAAAATATCTGCATGTGTTAATGGATAGCAGACTCAGTATGATTCAGCAGTAGGATATAGAAGCCAAAAGAGCTAATGTGAACCTAAGCCATATTAGAAGAGTTCCAGGATCTGATTTATGCTCTGGTCCTGCTGTTCTCTGTCCTGGACAGACCACACATGGAGAATTGTGTTCAGTTCTGGTTGCTGTATTTTAAGAAGAATATTGACAACGAACTGAAATATGTCTAGAGGAGGGAAACCAGGGTAGTAAGAAAGCTGGAGACCATGTCATATGAGAATTTGTTGAAGGATCTAGGGATGTTAGCCTAAGAGAAGATTTGGAATGAACAATATGATGGCAACCTTTAAGTATGTGGAGGACACGTGAAAGTGGGATTAGACTTATTTTGCTTGACCTTAGAGAAGTTAACCAGGAGTAAAGGGTAGAAGCTGCAGAGAGGCAGAATTCAGTTCAGTTCATGTACTTTTTTTTTTCTTTGCTAGGCAGTGGGGTTAAGTGACTTGCCTAGGGTCACATAGCTAGTAAGTGTTATGTGTCTGAGGCCGAATTTGACTCCTGACTATCCACTGTGTCACCTGGCTGCCCCCAGTTCATGTACTTCTTAACAATCAGAGCTGCCCTGAAGTGAAATAGCCTTCCTCAGAAGTTAGTGGGCTCCTGATCGTTGGAGGTTTTTGATAAAAAATTGAGTGAACACTTGACTAGGATGTTGTATTTTATGGAATTTCTGATTAGGCAAACGTGCCAATGTCATCCAACATCCCAGAGGTGCCTTCAAGCTGTGATTCTGTGGTTCTAGTTCTGTGAGGTGGCTGTTGACACAGCTACAGAACTCAGGCCTTCTGGTTTCTAAGCCAGTGATCCTTCTATTCATTGCATCATCACCTTCTGGGATAGGAGTTCTTAAGCTTTTTTTTGTCACTGGCCCTTTCGGCAGTCTGCTGAAACCTATGGTCTTCTTTGCAGAATCATGTAAAGAAACCAGTTATATTGAAACAGTTATTGAAATATTAAAAACAAATAAACAAATTCAAGTAGCCCAATTAAGAACTCCTTTTCTGGTCTGGCAGCAATGGGAATAGAAAGCAAGGGGTGGATATGAGGGTTGTTACAAAGGAAGAGTTTTCATGGACATGGTAACTGACTGGATGTGAAAGGAGAGGGATGAGGCCTGGGTGGATGGGATGAATAGGGAAGTCAGGAAGAAGAGCTAGTTTAGGGGTAAGATGATGAATTTGGTTTTAAATAGGTGAAGATGATAATGAGAAGTGGAAATGTTCATTAGGTAGTTGGAAAACTGGGACTGAAACTTGGGATAGAGACTTAAAGATTTGAGAGCTGGCTTCATAAAAGAATAGTTGAAGACATGAAAGTATATGAGGGAGGAAGGCTGAGAGAGGAAGAGCAAGAGGACTGAAGACAGAACCGTAGGGAAGGCACAGATTTAAAAGAAGGAAGAAAAAAATTGCACATGAATGAGCCAGAAGGATCTGTCAGAGAAGTGGGAGAGCTATTGTGGTGAGGTGTCAGAGAAGCCAAGGAGGAAAGGCATTTCAAGAAAGGAAGTGTTAATACTGTCAAGAAAATAACAAAGTCAAGAAAAATAAGGGCCCAAGAAAAAAGTCAGCTAGGCTTTGGTGATTAGAGGGTCATTGATTTTTAAGAGAGACTTTTCTATAAAGTGAGGGCAAAAGACAGATTGCAGAGGGTTTGTTTACACTAGGATGTTAGCAAAATGGACACTGAAAAGCCTAGTTGGAAGGAAACAGGGAAATACTGGAAAGGGTTATATTTATGTATGTTTGTAAAAAAGACTGGGGTTTTTTTGTCTGCAAGCTTAGTGTGAGACAAAATGGAATATGGCTATCAAAAAAGTTAGTGCAATGTTAGGCAGCATTAGTTAGATGTATAGTATCTAGGACAAGCAGGTAGCAGACCCATTATACTCTGCTTTGCTTAAACCAGGAGTGGGGAACCACATGTGGCCTTCTAGGGTCCTTGGGTGTGGTCTTTTGACTGAGTCCAAGTTTTACAGAACAAATCCTTTTATCTAAGCCTTAGACCATACACATGTGGAGTATTGTTTTTGGTTCTGGGTCTCACATTTTAAAAGCTGGCAACCTGGAAAGCCTTCAGAAGAAGGTGACCAAGAGGGCATGGAGCCTCTAAATTGTGTCACATAAGAACTAAATGAAATAACTTGAATTGCTTAGCCTTCAGAGAAGATTCAGCAGGGAACATGCTAGCTGAGTTACAGTATTTGAAGGGTTATCATGTGGAACAGAAATTAGGACTTATTTTGTGTGGTTCCAAAAGACAAATCTAGGATCAGAACATTGAAAGTAAATAAAGGCAGATTTTGACTTAATATAAGAAGAAATTTCCTAATAATTTGAGTTGTTTAAAGATAGAATGCACTACCCTGTGAGGTGTACTGGGTTTCCTGTCAATTGAGGTTTTGAAATAGAGCCTGGAATAAACCTTCGTTGGTATTGAAGAAGGGGTTCATGTGTCATATAGGAACTTGGACTGTAGAATCATACAGCTGATACTGGGAGGGACCACAGGGGCCAGTTTGTACAGCCCCTCATTTTATAGATGAAGAAACTGAGGTGTGGAGATACAGGGACTTGCCCAAGGCCACAGAGGTAGTAAGTGTGAGAGGTAGGATTTGAACACAGGTTCTCTGACTCTAGAGTCAGAGCTTTTCCCAATGTAACAGGCAGCCTTCTAGATGACTTTCAGGTCTTTCGCTCCAAGATTCCTAGTAGACACTTAAAAGAGTTTCCTGAGAAGCTTTCAGTGACAATTCTTATATGATATGTTGGTGGTTTTGGTGCCACAGTGTACAACGGGCCACTTGTCTCAGCAGTCTCTTACTTATTTCTTCTGGCATGACCAGCTCTTGACTGCCTGATGCTCAATTCAGGTTTCATTCTGTTGCTACTTTTGTGTGCTGTATGGGTGGTTAGGGAGGACCAGCACCTCTGGTGTGAGGGCTTGCTGAGCCCTTTTCAGGGCTGCTCATCCACCCTTGGGGTCCACTTTCACCTAACTGTCATCTGTGGCTACTAGAAACTGTAGCATGTGTAGTGGCCATAGCCAAGTAAAACTGTCTCAGCAGATGGGCTAAACCAGGTGGAGGGTAACTGATAGGCCTCAAACCCATCAGTAAGTTAGGGGGATGTCTACCCCCAGCATGTAAAGACTTTCCCTGGAGGAATGGGCAGATGAGAACAATTTGTTGCAATGGTCATGAAGGCGGCAGAAGCAGGCACTGTGGAGTGCTTAGACCTTGGTCAGACATGGAAGACACCAAGGTCATCCACTGCATCCCAGGTTATTGCCAGTGGTTCTGATTTTGGTGCTGCCACTGGACTTCGATGACTCTGAGAGAGTGAGGCTGATGATTTTGTGCAACCTTGCCTCACTTAAATCTAATTCACATGCAAGTCAAGACATCACCCTATGAAAAACAAGAGATGAAAACCACTTTTGCTTTCTTACTGAGGTCTCCAAAGTCTATGTCACTTTTCAGGGACAAGGCCAGAGGCTGTTGCTCCACCTCTTTTTCTGTTTCTGATAGCAGCAATTATTCTCTTTTAAGTATTTAAAAGGAATTTGCTATGAAGCATTATGGGAGAACATCCAAGGTAGGAGTGGGTGTGGAGATTGACAGATGAAAAAGCTGAACAGTGCAGTATACAAAGGTCTTTATAGTTTAATCCTGGTCATCTATCAGATATAGGACATTTGTCCCTCCTGCCTAAAGCTCTTGCTCACCATGGGCTGTGATGGTAACTCAGTTCTTGATCCATTGCTATGGAATTAGTTGGTCAGATGTTCCTTCCCATCTCTCTGAATCTGCTTCCCAGGTTTTCAAGCAAGGACTGTAGCAGAGACTTGCTTTCTACTGTTCCCCTTGCCCTTTCATTTTAGGTCACTTTAACCTTAATCCATGAGCCAAGCTTTTTAAAAACATATTCTTCTCTCCTATATGCCTGTTAAATAACTGTTTCCTATCTGAGCCCTAGAGCTACTTCTTTCAGGTTTCCAACCTTGGTGACTCCCTTACCTTGTCTTGGAGATCTGTACGCTTTGGCCCCTTTAGAAGCTGCATCCTTTCTACTTTGCCTGTCTCTCTGTTCTTTAAAGCAGATTATATGAGCAAACTCTTTTTGCTAGTTTAACTCTTGTTGTACAAGCCTCCATTTCCACTTTCTTCATGAGGTGCAGTATCTATTGAGGTAGACAGGCCAGGCCCTCCCTAAGTCTAGGTTTCTTTACTTCCCCATGACTAACTTGCAGTTGTATCCTGACCTTGAGTTTCCAGATTTTGGTTTGATATTTGAACTTTTTAATAATCAGAGCTATTTAAAGTAGAATGGTCAGCTTCAGGAGAATGATTTCCCCTTACTTGGCAGGGATGTGATAGAGTAGATTTCTGGTTAAGTGTTGTATAGGCTAGATGACTTAGAGGCCCTTCTGTCTCTAGATTCTATGATTTCCGTGGGTCTTCCTGGCTGAGCTCAGGTGACAACTAAAGTTGAGAAACAGTAGGTAAGGATGTGTTTGCCTTGGCCCCTGGTCACAGGGATCCGGTCACTTCCCCATCTCAGGGTCATGAGTTACTTGGTCTGTTTTGGCCCATCTTTCCTGGAAGTATTGCTTTTTGCCATAATTGCAAATAAGAACTCATAGGTCTCATTGAAATATCAACATATATTCTCACTACCATATTCCTCCTCCTCTCCCCCACAGTGATTTGATAAAGCCATTCTGCCATTGTAGTAGTGGTTTAAAGTTACTCAACTAAATTATAAAATGTCTTAAATATTTTAAAAAAAAGAGCACTTTGACTGTTAGAACTGTTAGCTAGAGTGGTTATAAGTATCTTAGTTCAGCCTTTCTGTTGAAGGATGTATCTCAGTGTCTTCATATCCTTGTTAAATTTATTATCAAATAAATGACTTTAAACATTTTATCTTTCCGTCTAAAATATCTTAAAAATATTCTATCGTAGGGGCAGCTAGGTGGCACAGTGAATAGAGCACCGGCCCTGAAGTCAGGAGGACCTGAGTTCAAATCCAGCCTCAGACCAAACACTTGATACTTACTAGCTGTGTGACCCTGGACAAGTCGCTTAACCCCAATTGCTTAAAAAGAAAAAAAAAATTCTATCGTATGTTGCATCTTGATGCAAATTTTATTTTGAAAATTCCAGTAGCCAGTATTTGTGAATGACTTTGGGCAGTTTTTTGTATAAATGTCCCATTACAGAAAATTGCTGTTCAAAAAATACAATGGTTGTGCAATTATCTTCCAAGAACAGGCATCTTTTTTAAGAATGGAGTTGGAACCAAGGTGTAATGTGCAGTAATATAGTTGAATTATATTTGAAAAAGGCTTGTGGCAATTAATTGTTTGTATGTCCCATTACAGAACACTCTACTCCAAAAATCACACTAGCTGCAAAATTATCTGCCAAGAAACAGGCATCTTTGCTTAGCGATGAAAAGGATGATTTTCAAGTAGACAAGAAAAGGATTCGTCCCTTAGAAACCAAGCAGCAGGTGAGCAAAGCTTATTGGCAGTGAAATAATCCAGATATAGCTGAACATTGTTGTCAAGAATCAATCAACATTTCAGTGGAAGTCAGAGAGATTAGTTGGGTCATATCACAGCCATAAATTAGACTATTTCTTTTAGCTTCATTTTTACTGTTATAAAAGAGTCCATTGTTGTGTCAGATTATTCATAATAATATGTCATTAAGATAAATTGCACTGTGCATAGTTGTGCATGAGGAATTTATGCATTTTATGTCTGTGGAGCCTACTCATTAATAGTGGCAGTCCAGTGTTCCATCAAGGAAAAGAATTCCAGTGGAAGAATGGGCCTTATACATCAGTTTTTTAAATACATGAATTGGTGATATATGCCCTGAATTTCATCTGTTGTCAACTTTTTTTTTTAGCTAGAAATGGAATTATTTTCTTGGCTATTGTTGTGAACCTTGGAATATATTGTTATTAGCATTATTGCTGAGTTAAAATATTGGTGTGTGATAGAACTATTTAGCTTTTCTAAGAAGAAACAGATGCAAAAATAAATGCTTACATGCTAGCTTGTATGTATATTTTATTAGTTTTATTTCCACTATTTGGTACTCCCTATGGTAACACCTTAGTAAAGTAATTTGGACCATTTGTGAGGAAGGCCATTCTAAATCAGGGAAAGGTCTGAATTTTCCAAATATTTAAAAGAAGTACACTTGTATTACATAGAACCTTACATAGAGTAGGGCTATGTGTTACTTGATAGAATTTCTTAGGGAATTGCCTTTTTAAGGAATAAAGCCTTCAGATGATTTATAATTAATTTAATATAAATCAAGAAACATACAGCACCTACCATGTACAAGGCTCTTTGCTAATATTGAGGATAAAATGAATTTCTATCCTTGAAGAGTTCACATTCTAATATATAATTCTCTCAGCTTGTCATTTGTTGATATATAAAGTACAGGAGACTTTCTAAAGCAATTTAAAATTAAAAAAAAATTAAGTCAATGATATCTTACCATAATTTCCCCCAGTGTTGTTCCCCCTCACCTTTTCAGAGAGCCATATCACATTATAAATAGTATTTTTTTTTAAGGCATAAAGAAAGAAAAAGAAGAAAAAATCAGCACAAGTCATCGATATGTTAAAAAAGTCTGAAAACACATGCAATGTGCAACGTCTGAACCTTCCCACTGCTATAAAGGGGTGTGTCCTCTGGATCTTTTCTTTTAAGCTGTACTTATTATTTTAATATATCTTTTGCAACGTTAGCTTTTTTTCGTGTTTTTTTCTGTTTACATTGTATAGTCACTGTGTATGTTGTTTGGCTCTGTTTGTTCACTCTGCATCAGTTCATGTGTATCTTTCCATGTGTCTGTATTAATCACACTCATATATCACCTATCACATTAACGTTCCATTACATTCATGTACCATAGTTTGTTTAGCTATACCCCCAGTCAATGAGTATCTACTTGTTTCCAAGTCATTGCTATTACAGAAAGTGAGCAGTTTGTTTTCTTAAGTAGTTTAAAAAAAATTCCTCCCTAGAGTTTTTGTTAATGCTATAAATTTGCTTAACAAAACTCTTAGGGAAAAAAAAACATCAAACAGGTAAACCGGTCTGATCCATCCCTGAATTGTCATATGTTCCAATTTATTGGAGTCCAAATTTATGTAGTTTTATTTTATGTAAATTTTACTTTTAAGAAGTAATAATTTGTGAAATATAAGTATTTGAATCAAATAGCTCATCATTGTCATGAGTCCTTTACTTTTTCCAGTTTATTTCTAACATGTAATTTGTAAAAGGCATAAAATTAATAATGAAAATGAAGAACTGTTTTGTATTTGTGAGAAAATGTGGGTGGGGGTTGGGCATATCATAAAGTATTGGCTTCTTGTCTACCTACTTTGACCCTACTTTCTCTTTTAGTGCTTAGTAACGTACTGGAAGAGTGTCGTGTTAGCATCATCTTCCCTTTTCTCCCTTGCTTCATTTCTGCAACAGTGCAGAAAATAGGAAGAGGCATGGCTTGCTGCTGTGAAACACAGATAATAGAAACATGATTCAAGAAGGGGATTAAAGCAGCAGACAACAAAGCCATATTTTTCAGAAATGTGTGATGGACCTTTCAACTTTAATTTCAGTTCCCCCTAATAAGAAATTGTAGTTATTTAAATTAAAAAAAATCAAATCTATTCCTTAAAAGTTTTTTTTCCACTAAAATTGAAGAAAAAATGGAGTAGTGCCTTAAAACTTTACTTTCCAAAGTTGTTTGATTTCTATTATGTACACTAGGACCTTGCTGTAACACTGTCCTTGTGGTTTTATTGGTGGTACCATATTACAATGTGATTTTTTTTCCGTTATCAGTAACTAACCTCTTTTATTTAGTCTAAGATGAACCACTATTTTGTATGTTATTCAGTAAAGAAGTGTTGTGGTCGTGTGGTAATGTAGTTTGTTTGGCAAGAACATGTACATTTTTGCTTGTCACAGATGCCATATAAATTTGAATATGGGCCATCTCTGAATATAGAGATATCTGTAAAATGATGTCTCTTCAAAAGGAGAGAAGAAAATGTATGTATTCACTGAAGACTTACACAGATTACAGGTCACACTCAGATTTTTTACAAGCCAGACTTGGGGGAAAAAAGTGTGGCCTGTCTTCTGACCAATAGCTGTTATTCATGATTATTTTTCCTGGAATAGAAATTATTGATAGGACTCTACTGAGCTCTGAAAACTGACCCATTTAAGCATCTTCAGTTTATTTTGGCTTCTGGATTGGTGTGTTTTTGCAGGTTAGAAAGCGTCATTGCTTTGCAAAGGATATACAGGATTTAGATGTGAAAATTGCACCAGAAAGGATTGTGAAGCCAAACTCTCCACTGGGAAAAAAGATAACGTCTTCTCCACAAAAGGTATATATTATAATTCCTGTGTTTATGTTCAGTTAAAGGAGAGATTCTATGGAATTTCCAAACTCCATGTTATAAGCAAATGTCTTACTTAAACTGTTTCCTATAAGCTCCCTCAGTGCCTTTTCATGGGTTCTGAAGGAGTAAGTCCTTTTCATAGGATGACTTGTTAGAGGAAAGGCCTTTATTTGTCTCCTTGTTGACTCACTCACAATTGCAGACTTTTTGCAGTTTTTTGGCAGTTTCCATTTGAGATGTGGAAGACTTTTGAAGTACATGTAGAATAAAATGTACTGTTCTTTAGACAGTTCCTTACCAGATGGACAATGTTTTTAGTTGTGTTTTGACTTGAGTTCCTCTTTAAAGGTTGGAGTGTATTGATTACATAGTAAGTCCTAAGCATATCCAATAGTAAAATTATTTTAACGAATGACTCTTTCTCATAATTCTCTTTCTCTTAGAAGAGAAAGTATTACTGTGTTTCTTCCCTGGACTATGACTCTACAGTCCTATAAGAAAAAAATAGTTATTTTTCATAAGTTGAATGATTTATTACTCATCATAATGTTAAAGCTATGGGTATGTGGCCATTTCTCTTAAAGTTGCAGATTTATTGAACAAATTAAATCTCTCAGCTAAACACAGTAAGTCAGATGATAAACTTTCAATAACATGACACTAAATTTCTATTTGTTCAGAGACATAAGTGATATATACCATGTTAATTAAACAGCTATATAATAAATTCATTTGATTATGAAACGGTGACAAAAGGAATATAGATTTGAAATGTGGTATCTTGAAAAGTTGTGGTGTTCTTTCTTCTTTCTTGGCTGCATAGTACTAAAAAAACTCCCATTATTCATTATCTCATAAATACTTTTGTAAAAAAAAAAAAAAGAAAGAAAAGAAAACAGCCTGGTTTTAGTCAATTGAAAGCCAGTACCTAGATTGGTAAGGTAATCCATATTTTAAATATGAAAATTTTCCCTGGCATCGAACAGACTAGAGTAGATAACAGTTAGAAGTGAAATGTAATCTCTGCAAAAATGTACTTGGAATGAATGTGAGATGGCATTATAAATATCTGCCCTTTTGAATAAGTGCTTTGGTAAGCTTGGTAAGAAATAAATATAAGACATATCTTCCTCTTTATCCATGACTTTAATTAAAAAGAGGAAAATGATGATATCATAAATGTGGCAGATATCATAAATGATTAGATTGGCAATAGCAAAGCCTAAATCTTCAGGTTGCTAAACCCCAGGCTGCTATTAAGCTGATCCCTTGGTATGGTAAAAATAAGTATCAGAAACTAGGGTAGAAATAATATACTAAAACATATTTGAGTAAAACATATTTACATTTTTTTCATTAAAACAATTCTTTTAGAAACATTTAGTTTTTTGCTAGCCTATCATTTAGTCAACAAACATTTATTAAGCATTAAGCACTTACTATTTGCCAGTCTTTGTGCTAAGTATAGGTGAAACGAAGAAAAAAGTGAAACAGTTCCTGTCCTCAAGGAATTTATATTCCAATGAGGAGAGGACTTGGGTCCAAATAAGTATATATACTAAATGAAAAAAGGTAGATTTGAGGAGGGGGTGCCCTAGCAGCTGGAGAGACAAAGGAAGGCTTCATTAAGAAGGTAATATTTGAGCTGATTATTTTTCTATTTTTTAGCTTAAATTTTTTTTCAATGATTTCTTTCTTTCTCTTTTCCACCTTCCCTCCCACCTCCTTCACCCATCCCCCTCCAAAAAAACCCCAAAATAAAACTTTTGTAACAAGTAAGCATAGTCAAGCAAAATAAATCCCCATATTGGCCATGCCCATTTGCACATTAGTCTATCACTTCTCAGGTAGGAGATGGATAACATTGTTCATCTCCTCTAGAACAGAGGCCAGTGGGCCCAGATTAAAGTGTAATTGAGATATGTTTACCAAAATAAATAAAAATACAGTACGACATAGATATGATTCATTTGTAGTTTTTTTTTTTTTTTTAGGCAATTGGAGTTAAGTGACTTGCCCAGGGTCACACAGCTAGTAAGGGTCAAGTGTTTGGTCTGAGGCCAGATTCAGGTCCTCCTGACTTCAGGGCCAGTGCTTTATCCATTGCGCCACCTAGCTGCCCCAATTTGTAGTTTTCTAAGTCGATATATTGCCTACAAGTTTGACACCACTGCTCTAGGACGGTGGTGTCAAACTCAAAAAGAAACAGAGACCACTGAATCATGAATATATGGGGACCACATACTGGCTTAGAAAATCACATATTAACATTATCTGTGCTCTATTGTATTTTTGTTTTTTGAATATTTCTTACTTACATTTTAATCTGGTTTTGGCAGTTGTGGGGAGCATTGCAGGCCTTCAGGGCTGGGCTTTTGACACCTTTGCTTTAGAAACTTGGTAGATCATTGCGTTGATCAAAGTTCTTAAATCTTTCAGAAATGTCTATTTTTACAACATTGTTTTTATTGTATAAATTGTTCTCCTGGTTCTGCTCACTTCACTCTCCATCAGTTCATACAAATCCTTCCTATTTTTTCTGAAACTATGCCCTCAGTTTTGTCTTATAACACAGTGGTATTTCATTACATGTTTATACCACAATTTATTTAGCCATTCCCAATTGATGGGCATCCCTTTAGTTTCCAGTTCTTTGCCACTGTAAAAAGAGCTGCTATACATATTTTTGTACACATGGGTTTTTTTCTTCTTTCTTATATCTTGTTGGGGTGTAGGCCTAGGTAGTGGTATTGTTGGATCAAAGGGAATGCACAGTTTAGTAACTTTTGGAACATTGTTCCAGATTGCTTTCCAGAATGACTGCACCAGTTTATAGCATCATCAACGTTCCTGTTTTCCCACAGCCCCTCAAACATTTGGCATTTTCTTTTTTTGTCAACTCTGCCAATTTTCTGGGTGTGATGTGGAACCTAAGGCTTGCCTCAATTTGCATTTCTTTAATTATTAGTTAAGTTGGAGAATTTTTAAAAAATGGATATTGGTAGCTTGGATTTCCTTTGAAAATCGCTGGTTTATATCCTTTGACCATTTATCAACTGGGGAATGGTTTTGAGATGAGTCTTTAGGGAAAACAGGGATTCCAAGAGGTAGAGATGGGGAAGGAGTATATTCTAAGCTCAGGCACAGCCACAGCAGAAAGGCAAGGAGGTGGGAGACAGTGTCCTATGTGCTGAACAGTGAGTAGACTAGTATATTTATAATAATGAGTGTGAGGAAGAAAGTTTTAGAAGACTGGGAAAGTTGTAAGGACATTTAAATGTAAAACAGAGGAGTTAATATTTGATCCTGGAGGCCATAGATGGCTTGTATATCCTAAAAAGACATTTTTCTCCCTACAAGGTTATTCTGATTTCCAGTAGAATTGCTTTTTCATTTTAGTTTTTTAATTAACAAGCATTTAATTTTTCTCTCCCCTTCACCCCACACCCACTGGAAAAAAATAGAAAAACAAACTCTTGTAACAAATATGCATAATTAGGCAAAAAAAAATCCAACATTGACTATGTCCAAAAATATATATCTCATTTTGCCTCTTGAATCAATCACCTCTGTGTCAGGAGATGGAAAGCATAGATCATCATCAGTCTCTTGGAATCATGATTAGTTGTTCTTACAGCTTTCAAAGTTGTTTGCTTTTTACAGTGTTGTTATTGCATAAATTATTCTCTTAGTTCTGCTTACCTCATTCTATATCAATTCATATATGTCTTCCCAGGTTTCCCTTTCATCAAGTATTACAGCACAGATATTCCATTATATTCATATAGCATAATAGGTTACTCTAATTGCTGGGCACCCCTGTAGTTTCCAATTCTTTTCCACTACAAAAAAACTTGCCATTAATATTTTTGTACTTAGGGGTTCTTTTCCTCTTTGGTCTAGTGGAGGTATTGCTGGGTTAAGTAGTGACTTTTGGGGCATAGATCGAAATTCCTTTCTAGAATGGCTATACCAGTTCACAGTTCCACGAGTAGTACATACATGTGCCTTTTCCCCCACAGCATTACCAGTAGAATTTCACCAACTATTTGCAGACTGATTTATCATAATTCTCATTAGCTATACTAGATTTTACAAGAAAATATTTTGTTGAAAGGCAGAAGAAATACAAATGGTTCTGGGTATGTCTTCATAAAATTTAGTGTGGCATATTTTGCTCAGCCTCTGAAATTAATTCAACTTCAAATACAGCTCAAAGTAAAGCAGTTGATTAGGTGTACTTTAACACAGGACCATCCTTCTTAGGCTGAAAAATGACTCTGACATTCTCAGTACCATCTAAAAGATGTAAAAAATTCTAGTCTTCTACTTCATTCAAATTGGGTGGGATTAAAAGAAAAAAAATTTTAGGGAAAAATTATTCAGGCCCATAAATTAATTATATTACCTTATACATAAACCACATTTTTTTATCCTAAAAAAAGCTACGGCAGAGACATTTTCCTCATTTTCAGATGTCCCCAGTTCTGCTGATTCTTCACATACTTGCTTTATGCATATGAGAAAGTTTGATTATTTAGGACAGTGATTTTGTAGGCTTTTCACTCACCCCTTGCTTTGGGCACTGGGCTAGACTTACTGAATCCTCTTCCAGACTTTACCTAAAGGTCGTCTTTCAACCTGTGAGTTTTTTCTTTTGCCTTTTATTTCCAGGATTCTGACACTCTCTCACAGCATCGACTCTTGGTGTTTTTAAAAATAAATATTATTTGTCATTTAACTGTACAATTTATTAATGTTCTTTCATCATTTTGAGCATTATTTTTAATAAAGCATGTTCTTAATAAAATAAAAACCATACTTTTGGGTTTAGTTTTATAGCAAATTTTTGTTAGTGGGGTATTTTCACTGAGGGAAAACATTTGAAAGTTCAGGCTTTCAACTTTTGGTTGGTATAATAGAGACTCAAGGCCAGTAGAGTGTGCTGTTGATGTTCAGATAGAGTCTTTTTTCACTTGACTGAC